TATGTGTCAGCAGTCTGGTTTTATTTTCACACTGGGATTTACTTTCATTTTTTAATACTGTATGAGAAATGTAAACCTCACCCTTTATAATGTGTGTGTGTGTGTGTGTATATATATATATATATTCGTTCAATATATGTTACACTGATTTAAAACTTTAAAGGAAGAATGATTACTGTGGTTACTATTCAGAGGAAAATGGTTCCACTCAGTGGTGGGAACAGAAATGTTGGAGGTTTTGCTGGTAAACAGAGGATCTGTGGCCCCATGTGTGTTTGAATAAAACCCAATAACATGAGCGCTTCTATCTGAACTATTTATGTGAATATCCTGTTTTTCTCTGAGGTCACTATTTATAGTGTCCCGTTGATTTTCTGCATAGATAATGTGAAGTGACTGATAGTTGGAGCACTGTGGCTTGTATAGATGTTCTCCTCTGGTTTAATTATCTACGGGGTATGAAGTAACATCAGAAAACACCTGGGTCTATAATAAAAAGCCAGTGTATATAAAAACATTAGGAGAGAGTTTGTAACGATAAATGATATTAGATTAGCACATACAGCTTTCAGCCAGTCATCTGATTTGTTCTGTCTCTGAGATACAGAAGGGCACTAGTGAACATTAGTGAGCTCGTTGTCCCTCCTGCTAGATTGTGTGTGTGTGTGTGTGTGTGTGTGTGTGTGTGTGTGTGGTGGTGTGTGTGTGTGTGTGTGTGTGTGTGTGTGTGTGTGTGTGTGTGTGTGTGTGTGTGTGTGTGTGTGTGTGTGTGTGTGTGCGCGCGCACTTGTGCATGTTTGATTGTTTATGCTCACAATCATGTCACTAATTAGAAACTTGCTTTATTACCCCTCCCAGTCATTCTACAAATGACTGGGTGTTGAATGGGGCATTATGGGTAGGCACTGTAATTAACATCCACCACCACCACCCCCACTCCCTCACCCCCCACTCCCTTATTATCGTTAGTCACATTCCATCAGTTCTCAGTGAGCACTGAGGCTTGTGAGTACTTGATTGTGGTGATTTCCCTCATCGTTTCCACCCCCTCTCTGTCTCACCCCATCTTCCCCTTTCACCATTGTCTTCCTGTAACCCTGTTTTTGTCCGATGATGTCACTCTGCCAGCCTTTTTCACTTCAAATATGGTTTGGCCCCCTCCTCTCCGCTGTTGTCCCTGTCGGTCTCTTCCAGAATGTAGGATAACTGAATTGTAAATGAATGAAAGGCTGGACTCAGTGTAGCGGATGATGGCTCAATTGAATGTGCCTCTCAGGAATGCTCTGTTGTGTTGTGGAGTCTTTTGGCTTCAGCCAAGGCCTCACTCAGTTCCATTTGTGGTGGTTTGTCCTACAGAGCTTCTACCTGCTGGTCCTGTTTGTCTGCTACAGGTCCCTTAACTACCTGTCATCTTCACAAGCTTTAGTACAAGTGAAGAAGTGCATGTACACTTGACCTCTCCTTGTGTAGTAAATAACTGAGAGCAGAGGGAGTTGTACTTGCACCAAGTTTGGCTGCTCAACTCGGAGGAAATCCATCTCAAACCATCTTGCCTTGATCCATCAGCCTGGCATGGCCGCACCTTCTTCAAGGTGATACAGTGAGTAATTTGAATGACTGAACAGATTTGTGGCAGATATTGTCCAGATGATTCAGCACTACCACACCCAGCACTACAGCTTCTAGCCAACACCGATCAACACCGTCACCAGGCATACGATGCCAGACAATGTTGGTTTTTTAAGGCCTATACCACCATCAATATGTGAGGGAATAAAACAATCTGATAATAGCATATTAGCCCATATTAATTTTTTACATAAACATATAACTTAAACAATATTGACAATGATTCTTTATATTAATCAAACCAAAAGTTTTAGGTCCTTCAGATCAACTTTTATTTAGACAGGGGAATCCAGATACTTAGATTCTTCTTCAGGGATATGATCATATGACTAAACAGAAACCTTTTTCTAACTATTGAGTGGGTCATAGGTGTTCAGACTAAAAACAGCACTGTTTTAAAATAAATGGTGGGATGCAATGTTTCTAGTCCCTAAGAAAATGAAATCAATCAATCAAGGAGGTTGAGTAATACATGGTAATGATAAAAACTTAGATGCAAAAACACTGCACAGTAGTTTATAATACAATGAGGAGGGATTTTACAAATCATCAGCAATCATGAGGAACAGTGGAAATGAAATGGTGCGCTATCAGCTAGCAAACATTAGTTAGCTAAACCATAACTTAAGGCTAAAGTCAGAAACTAGCTAACATTATTGTTCATCTGTAGATACTTGACACAATCTGATTCAGAAACTCTGAAGGTAAGAAAGTAAAGTGTATTAAACAAGCTAGATAGTTAGCTACTGCTAATTACATTTACCTACAATGTCTGTGTGACACACAGGAGCAGAGACTTGAGGATGGAGCCACTGATAGAGTGAGGCAGACAGACGAGACATTGGTACAGTCCCCTTTAGGGTGTCTGAAATCGTATTACAAGATTCTTCCACACATCAATATGGGAAATATATTGTAATATTTACAGTTACAGGTAAGAATATAATATAAAAGTTTCAACTTCCCCAAACTGTTGTTTTTACCTCTTTTGGGGGGTCCTAGTCTTAATCAGGGGGCTCTGACCCCCCATAATTCAAACCCTGTGTATGAAGTATAAAGTTATCTCAACCACCATTTTCCATCACATGAACTTCGTGAAGTTGCTGTTTCTGTAGACAGGGCTGGAAGTGGAGTCCATTACTTCAAAGTAAAGGAACATGTAGATAAAGCAATTACAGGCATGCATTTCCCCCTTTCACCTCAACAAAAAAGACTTCAACTTGGAGGCAATATGTGTGTTTTTTTTCTATATGTGAGAGAATTGAATCAGGAGTCCATTCTCTTGTTCTCATGTGTCTCAAACCCTGAATGAAGTTGAGTCTGATTCGATTATTGGCTTTAGGAAAAGGGAGACCTGGAGTGATGGCAGCACAGTTTACTGTAGCCTCTGGCTATTAGATTTGCAGCTTTCAGCAAATTGTGAATTTAGATATATAAGGACCTTACTAGCCTGTTACTCTTAAATGAGTAATTAACAGCCAAAAGTTTTGAGAGTTATTGGAGAAGACGACAGTGTTACCCACAGCAAAGTATTATGGATCCAGCTCGCTGAAACCTCTGTCCGGTGGAGGGACAGGGAGAAGCGCTGTATTTGTTGAACTAGTGCTTCTAAACAGTCATTCCTGTTTCTGCTCCATCAGGCTCTGAAGTGGTCTCTCAGGATTCTCTCCACACAGCTGTAAAGCCCCTTTCCACCAGAGTCGTGTCATGCTGACTACAGAGTTCAGGCTCTGTAGTAACAGAGCTGCAGCTTTAACCAAGTTATGAAAAGTCACTCCTCCCACCTCAGGGGTCAAAGGAGAAAGACTGTCTTTTGGTTTAAGCAGGATTTATACTATGTCTGATCTGCATGTTGGCTGTTCAGGTAACGTCGGACAACCCCTGCCCCCACACCTTTCTGGCGTTGGATGGTTGGTGTCTGTGTTGACGATACAACATTCACACTCACATCTCACTCTTAGAGTCAGGCATTGTAATTTTCACTTGCTCTCTTTCTTTCATTCTTTACACAACTATTTGTGACACTTTTCATATGAACATCCTGCGGGAGAGACAGTCTGAAAATACAAACCATTATCCTCGTTTATATCACGTCTCCCTCCTCTCTATCACAGCCAACTTTTCATTCTGCCTTCCAGTGTGACTGTTCTGCGAGACCATAGATTTAATTATATCAGGTTTGGGGGGCCGAGGCATCGGTCAGTCTGCTTGACCTCTGAGTCTCTGCTTGTACTGAAGCTGGAGGTAGTTATACTGGCCGTGTGCCAAATGCTTGAGGATGAGTTTCAGATTTAATTCGCATTGGCTTGAAATTATGTAGATATCAATGATAATGATAATTATTATGTTCAAATAAAATTTCAGTCTTTGGTCTCTTACAAGGCTTTTACCCTCATTCTCACATATAGGCAATTTCCAACAAAGTAAGCTTTCTGCTGGTCCTACTGTGGCAGGAAAAGAGGTGTGCGTTTGTGTGTGTATGTGTTTGTGTGTGTGTGTGTGTGTGTGTGTGTGTGTGTGCGTGCGTGCATGCAACTGACAAGATTTTTTCTGTTTATTGGGGTGAATAGTGTCTTTTTCAGCCTGTGTCCGTCTTTTTCCCACCTCCCCTTTGAATAAGCTCACTGGAAATCCGCCTGAACTGGAAAGAAATAATCCTGTTTCTGTGCCAGTGATGGACTGTTGGGAGACGATGGAGGAGGAGAGGTGAATAGAAAGAAGTGGGAGACATTGAACAGAAAAGAGGAAGAGATGCTGTATAAGGAGTGAAAAGGAGAATTGGGTGAAAATGAAGAATAAATGGAATGTTCGTTTTTCGACCTGACAACAGCATATAGTGGGATTGCTTCATTCAGCAATCTCACCAATTAAACAGTCATAATCACAGTATTTTGCAAATCAAGTATGAACCTCAGACTTGGGTGCCCCAACAAGAGAACTCTACCCCTCTGAAGGTTCCCATGCCACCCTCTTTCTCCTCACAGCAACTTGTTTTTCTGGCAGGGACTCTAAAACCAAAGGTTTTTGTACCTTGTTTCCTAGCAATGAGTGTGGATTGTATACTGGGACAGAGTGTGTGTGGCACTGAAAGCCTTCTTGGACCAACACTACTCGACTTGGCTTCTTCTGAGGGGTTTTTTTTTTTTTTTTTTTAAAGAAAAAAAAAATGGAGGTAGCCAGTCCTACATAGGTTTGACGGAAATTTCAATGGGAATGAGCAATCCCGAGGATTTTAGTGAAATGCAGTGATGCAAAAAAAATAAAAAAAATTTGATTGTCAGTCTGTGTTTGTCGCAAACACACAACTCTCACTGGGTGGGTGTCTAAGTATAGAGTGTACTCATGTGTCTTCACTGCCCTTTGTGTTACAGCTTGCGTACAGAAGGATGTGTTATTAACCCCATGCTGCTGGGAGGTCAGGAGGTGACATGCCTCTATAAAACACCACTGGAAACAAATGGTGAGTCAGATACTTTATTTTGCTCTAGGAGTCTTCCACTGGCTGTTGTAATTGAATGTCACTTGATATAGTAGAGAGTTTACCATAGAGTTTAAAAATAGGAACCATAAATGTCTTATTGTATTAGTTGTATTAGTTGTGCTTACACGGCTGATCTGCAGAAAGAACACACAAACATGGAGGACCAGGGATGTCACAAGAAAAGTAATAAAGCATTTCCTTAATTTCATATTTTAGCAGGCATTAAAAATAGGAATTGTAAAAAAAGAATTTATAAATTAACGATTAAGATTTGAAAATGGATTTACAAAAACAGCATAAAAAACTCATTAAATAAACTGTTTAAATACATTTATTAATTCATGAATAAATAATAGAATTTAAAAACTATTTGAAAAGGCAGTTTGAAAATGGGAATACATACCTGGTTTCCCTCTTCAATTTCCATTTCTTTTTTCCAGCTGCTTTTCCTTTTCCTATTAGCTAATTGATTTGCTTAGTCATTTAGCCTCTCCGTTCAGCTTTGGCGTGACACTCTGGGCCTTCAGTGCTGGTAAAACCCACTGGTTAGCTCTCCAACCAATCAATGTGCTGAAGGGCAGAGCCTGAAGAACAAAAACTGTGTAACTGTCCACATACCTACTGTCTGAACTATATAGTTATAGGAAGACACCACATCTGATTCCAGTGCCAGTCAAGGGTCATACATGCAAAAACAAAAAATGACTTGTATCCATAATGATTTCTGCACCAAAATGTGTGATCATTCATGTAGAAATGTGTGTGTGTGTGGAGGTTTGTGACATGTCAACCGTTGTAGTGAATGGAGATGCTGTTTATAAGAACCTGTCCTGTCTTCTTTCCCTCAGCTCTGCTGCCATGCCTCCGGGGATGGTGCGTCGTCTTTCAGTTTTAGCAGTCCAGACACTGCTGTCTCTCCTGCTGATAGGAGTTGGCTGGCCCTTCATCTCATTACCCAGTGGCATTGTCCAAGGATCAGACTCCTCCCCCTCTAATCCTCATCCCACCTTTATCCGGAATGATACTCTGTTTGAGCACTTGGCCCTGCATCCTGACCACAACGTGGGTCGGGTCTATATCGGGGCCCGAGATCACCTGTTCCAGTTAGACCGATTCCTCCAACCTGAACTCCAGGATGACACTGGACCTGTCACAGACAGTCGGGAGTGCTTACCTCCTGTTACTGAGAGCAACTGCCCTCAGGCCAGGGTCACCAGTAACCACAACAAGCTCCTGCTGGTTGATCCTTATTCCATGGAACTTATTACCTGTGGGAGCGTCAACCAAGGAATCTGTCAGAAACGTAGTCTGGATTCTGTGGATATGGTACTTTTCTCCACCACGAGGCCGGTGGATACCCAATATGTAGCAGCTAACCACCCCAACGTTAGCACTGTTGGGCTTGTGGTTCGGTCACATCCTGAGAGGCAGCCAGTACTATTCGTTGGTCGGGGTTACACCAGCAGCCATCCACCTATTTCCACAAGAAACCTCGCCCAGGAACCCATCTTTTCTTACGAGGAAACCGCCAAGTTGGCTGTTGCTGGCCGTCTCTCAGAATATGACCATCATTTTGTGGCCTCATTTGCCCACCGTCAGCATGTATACTTCCTCTTCTACAGGCGTGACCTTAAGTCACAGTCGCGCGAGTACCGCACCTACATCTCTCGTGTATGTTTGGACGACCAGTCCTATTACTCCTATGTAGAAGTACCCTTAACATGCCGGTCCAGGCCAGGAAAAATTTACAACCTGCTACAAGCTGTCCAACTCGGGCTTTCCAAGGACGGTGTAGTCAGTCAAGGCTCGGAGATTCTACTTGGTGTCTTCTCCACTCGTTTGGCTTCATCAACTCGGCCCAGTGAGGACTCTGCCCTTTGTATGTTTAATCTTGAAGATGTGGACCGCAGGATTAACTCCACCAGAGACCTGTGCTACACGCAGATGGGTAGAGAAGCAGGAGTCGAGGCAGCCTACATTGAGTATGAAGTCAAGTCTAACTGTGCCAACCTGCCAGAGGTGAGCTCATCACATCGAATTGAATTGCTCGAATTGCTTGTTTATCTGGTAGGTTGTTATTATTTACAAAACTCAAGTGCAAATGAATGAGCACTAACACACAATTCGTTCTAATGGATTTCAGTGTAAATCATGATGTGCTGTAGGTTTGACATCATTCTGTGAGAAGTCACAACTCACAGGCGACTTCAGATTTTTTGTTGTGATAACTTTATTGTAGGATAGTTAAAATTTTGTTGTGAAGCTGAAAAGAGATTTACATTGTGATTAAGATGTCAAATCTCAATTGGATCATTGAGCACAAATAAATCATCCTCCATCTCTGTTCAGTCATTGCCAGGACAGTCCCTCTGCACCAGGGATGGACTCTCACGCGAAGTCTAAGCTGTGGGGAACATGTTTTGTGATCAGGATTCAGGACTCCTACCAAACATTAGTGTCCGAAATATAATTTATAATATAGCAATCTTTTTTGTCATTATCTTACCAGTGGTTATTCCTGGCTTAAATCCAGATTATGGCAGTCTGCACAGCACTGTGTTATTACAGTGTAATCAAGAGCTCCCATCAGCCAGTCCATTCAATGACATGTCAGTCTTTAAGCTTCCAAGCCAGGTTCCTAGAATGGACGTCATGACTTCATAACTGTTTCAGTACGTATAATGTAGTTTGGGGCTATTCTTAGCACACAATCATCCCTGCTAGTTTTCCTTTAATGGTTGGGTTCACTCCACATGGCTTAATAAATACTGACTTATGTCTATATGTAGCTGTTTGAATACCGTTGAGCTATGTTATTACAACAAAGTTTAAAGGTGGACAGTTTTGTACAGCGGTGAAATCAGGTTCTGTAGTCAGGTACATAAGCAGTCTCTATGAAACGTTCCCTGTGTAGTCTTAGACCTCTAGTAGTGCTACGGTCGTGTTGGTCACCGTTTTGTTTATCTTGATGATGTGATACACAGTCCTACCACTGGTGTCCCACAATTCTACTGATCTGTAGGTGGTGGTAACACAAGAAATGCAAAGGCAGGGAAGACGACCACAAGCTAGTACATGTGGATGATATTGGTTTTGTTTTTTAAGAAAACTCTACAGGGCCTCTTTAAGAGCAGGCCAGAGAAGAGAATTCATTCCAGTACATCAGCCAACTACATGCAATCCATCAAAACAAGTAGCCTTCAGTAGGCAGAGCTCCCAGGTTCATTGCCTCTGCTTCCTTTTGTTAAGATTACCAATAATTAAGCAATGAACTCATGAAAAAATGATATGCCTGGAACAAACACCAACAACCGTCCCTCCTGCCAAATTGTCTAAAAGCGTCGAGGCACAGAGTGTAGAAATGATAGGAGCCAGCCCCTCCACAGTAAACCCTGCTGGGATTTCACCAACCACCAGAGCACTGCTGTTTTATTTTTGGTGACTTGCTTACTCACTTAGAAATTAATGACAAATCACTTGAAGGACTTTGAAAGCAGTATAATTACATGTCACATGTAATTTACAGTGTTATTTAATTTTATGATCTAATCTTCATCTCATTTGAACTTGACATGTTGCAATCACCACGCACTGATTATTCTCTCTCGTATCCCCACTATTAGAACACCCTGGACGCCTACCCCTGCGGCTCTGACCACACCCCCAGCCCGATGGCCAGTCGAATCGCTGTGGAGGCAGAAACAATATTGGACAGCCCGTCTGCCCGTCTCACTGCTGTGTCCATCAGTGTGAGGGCAGGACATACCATTGCCTTCCTGGGAGACTCCAAAGGAAACCTGCACAAGGTAACAGCATGCACAGACAGGTTGTCAATCTGCATTCTGGTGTATTTCTTCTCAGGAAGCACACACACACATCGTCACAACAAAGTGCTCTTTCTGTAATAGTGAATATTGTGATGTTATGCCCAGATTCTTCTGTTATTGCTGGAGTAAGTAATAGTGTGGCATGCTTTACAACTTGCATCATTATTTTGTATTCAGACCAGGTTTAAGTGAGACAGCTCTTTTCTCTGTTTGCCTCCAGATGCTGACCACTGGCTATTATCTTGCCAACCAGTGGATCTAAGTCTCCGTGTGTAGAGGCAGGCAGCAGTAATCTCAAGAGCTGAGTCCTGGTGCTTGTATAGTAATGCTTTGAGTTTGTTATTAAAAGAAAGTTTGCAGGTTTAATGTAGATTATCCCTTTGCACTAATTTAAATCATCTGGTAAATTATCGAAACATAGAATGTCAACACCATCAGTATATCACTGGTACTGTTAAGTCAGTGCTCTCTGGTGTTCTCAGACCACTGACTCTAAAGGGCCTATCTTACACCCGGCACAAAGCACAACACAAGTGTCTTTGCTAGTTTCAGACTGAGGCAGTTGTCATTTTTCCGTCCAGCGCCCATGTTTTTTAAATAGCAAATACTCTTTGCGCCTATCTGTATGGAGCACAGAGCGCATACACTCTGCCTGTCACACACTAGCAGAGTGAGCTTCAGATGTTTGCATCACTCAGGTGAACATTACACCTCTTGAAGAAAATTCACTCAAGTCCTTAGTTCCAAGTTTGCTGTAGTGATGTGAGTTTATTGGTATCCCAGGATACGGTGAGCCAACTGACACATAGCAGGTCTGAGGCAGTAGACTGACCCAGAGTGAAGGGCAGGGGGACAGTTATACAGTTGAAAAAAAAAAAGGGGGGGGGGTAAACAGTATGTAAATACAGTTGACTTTGGGTTACAGACGTGTGGTCAGACAGGATAACAAGGTGATCAAAAGGTGTAGAAACAAAAGGTAATGTCCTCTAGAGGCCGTACAGTGTAACACCTAGGGTCAAGTTACCAGGGGGCCATGAAGGGCCTTTAGATCAGGGGTCTCAAACTCAACTTACCTAGGGGCCGCTGGAGGTAGAGTCTGGGTGAGGCTGGGCCGCATCAAGTATTCCACAAAAAAAAGGGTTTCAAGTATTCCAAAAAAAAAGTACAACTGATCCAATCTTCTCAATCTTAACAAGTCAGAGCATGCAGAACATGAACAGTTCTTCAGAACATAGGCTTCATTTACTTCCTCCTACTCCTTGCTGCCAGAGACTTGGCAGCGCTTCCTCTCACATAGCTGAGCCACATTTGGCTTGAGGGAGGAAGCAACTGAGACCCTCAGTACGGCTTTAAGATGCTCATCTTTAAGTTTGGACCTGAACTTTGACTTATGCCTGTAACATACACTGTTTGATGAACTCGCCGTCTTTGAATGGCTTTCCTGCCTTAGCAATCATCTCACTCACCACGTAGCTAGCTTTGACAGCCGCTTCACTCTCTTTGCTTGCTTTCTTGAAAAGATCTTGTTGCCTCAGTAGACATGTTTTAAGTTTGGCGACCCGGTCCTCTCGCTTATCTCCCAGGTATTTTGCATACTCCTCAGCATGTTTAGTTGAATAATAACGTCTGATGTTATACTCCTTGTGCACCGCGACTTTATCCGTGTATATTAGACACGTTGGGATGCCCCTGTGCTCAACAAAAAAATATTCCGTCTCCCACTTCTCCTGAAATTGTCTGTGCTCATCGCCAACTTTTCTCTTCGCGGCAGGTTTTGAAAAAGACTGGGGCTGACAAAAACCGTATTGCACTAGGTGACAGGATATATTTTCCCTCCACTCGGTGACCCAAATATGTTACAAGTGACCAATTGCTAATTCGCGTTGTTGTCACGAGCCTGAGCTACGGTAACCCACAAGTGTTAAAAAATATAAAACGCCCAGATGCATGTGAGAAAAAACGCGCGGGCCGCACTAACACAAAGCTTTGATTTCAGGCAGGGGGCCACAAAATATTGTTCCGGGGGCCGCAATTGGTCCGCGGGCCGCGAGTCTGAGACCCCTGCTTTAGATGAATCAGCTAGTAAGGTAAGGGTAATGTACGATAGTGAGGAATTTAGCAATACAATAGAAGAGGGCACTGCATGCAGACAGACAGGTGTCAAGTCTCAGCTACCCAAATGTGTATTTTCCTCCTCACACCACAACCTCAGAAGGTCAGAGCTTCTTTGTGACATGTTGTGTGTTGTATAATGTATGGCTTAAAGTTTTCTGGCACTGCTGGAATTCCAGCACAGGGCCGGGGCCCTTTTAGATTAGAAAATAGGTAATTATATGTGGAAAATATTCTTCCATATTTTTTGGGCTACATACAGTATATATATATATATATATATATATATGATAATTGGCAACCACTTGACAGCAGTAGGTCTATTATGCTGCATACGTTGTTTAGAGACCAACGCAGGAACGAGCATTTGAAGTTTGAACGATAGGCGTATTGGATAGGCTATTCTTTATGGCTTTGAAAGTTGGGCTTGGACTTGGTTTCCGACTGAGGAATGAGTGAGTAGATAATGCATTCTCCTTCCATCTGGACCTTTCAAGTTAACGTGAGGATTCACATTTAGAAACGATCAGATTTGGTGTTTTTATCTTTCTGAAACGGGTTGCGATATGCGCCACAGCCATCATCCATCTGGCTTGTAGCCTACAGCTCGCTAGGCTATGTTTTTATCATCTTATACCACCAAAGTATGTCTAATATCTTCCATTTGTGTTTTGTTTTTTTTGCGCATATATTTTGTTGTTTTGAGCATATAACAGTAGCCTAATTATCCAATCACGTTGAGTTGTCCTAACCCCAACCCCCCTTCCCTCCATTCTTTCTCATAACCCCCAAACACATTTCAGGCACAGAAATTGTCCTTGCTTTAAGCCCTGATAACTTGTCATGTGTCATGGATGACTCCTGCATGACGCTCTGCAGAGAAGCATTCTTTGTTACTGCCAGGTAAATCCTCATTCATCACCCGCCTGTGTCAGGACTGGACTCACTGATCAGGACTGACTGTCTGAGGCTACATCCACACTACTACGTTTTAGTTTTAAAACACGTCATTTTTGCTACGTTTCTTCCTCCCGTTCACACTGCTACAGAGTTTTCAAGCCCCAAAAACAGAGACTTTGAGAAACGCTGCTTTTAGTTTAAAAACTCCGGGGTTGTGTTGAATCTGGACGGGGAGAGACTGAGACCTTTGGAAACTATAATCTAGTCACCCACGGTCACTCCCTGATTGGGTCTCATCAGCCTCGACTACCAGTGGTGAACACAACATGATAATGAATTACAAGCATTACTAACCTTGTTGTCTTTGCTTTCAGCTGTTGTTCAGTTCAATTCTGTATTTTAATGCTACACCTGTCTTTGCTGTTCCTCGTTCAGAGGATTTTCTGCAACTAACCAACTGCAGAGTAGACAATCTACTTCCTGTTTACACCTACACACACATCCCCAGTGAATGGTCATGTGATGTGTATTTTCAGGTGTAATTGTATGGAAGGAGATTATTTCTGATGTGGAGCTAAGATGCTTGTCTGGACAGAGATCATTTTAGTTTTAAAATGCAGTTTGACAAAAGAATCCCAACTCCAGGGGATTTTTAGTATTTTTCTGTTTTTGGAGCAGTCAGTTACATAACATTATCAAATTAAATTCTTATTATTGCCTGTGCAGTCCCTGTTGAAATATATAAAAATATATAATATAAAAATAATGGAACTATTTTTATGTTTTTGATTCAAATAAGGCCTTAGCAGAAAGAAACTTTGAGGAGATCACATTTTCAGCTTAATTGATACATAATCCTCATTCATTTGTGTGCATTTCCTCAGGTGTTCCTGGGGCCAAATGGCGAGGTGGAGGAGTACTCCGTCATCTCCATTCAGCAGAACGCAGCCATCAGCGCGGACCTCATCCTCGACCAAAAGGAGGAGCATCTCTTCATCATGACCCATAACATGGTACGTCCCCACACAGACATGCAACATACAATAGTTGGACTATTGTCGTCACATTTTATGGTTCTCTTTCTAGATGCCCCTCCCTGCCAGAGAAATGATTTGGACTCTAATTTCTGCCCCAATTCTCCCTCCTCCACTGAGGCCGTCTGTAGTTGGGATTATTCTAATGACCATATTTTCATTTTGCATTGTTCCACTGAAGAAAGTGGGCCACCTATTCTCTATAATCAGATTTTTGGGAGCTTAGTGTTGACTGAACATGATTGTGTTGTCCTGGTTCTAGCTGCAGAAGAGGCCAGTGGCTGAATGCCAGCAGCACCCAGACTGCCACTCCTGCCTGCTGGCCCACGACCCCTACTGCGGCTGGTGTGTCCTGGAGGGAAGGTGAGACAAACAGCAGCAGTGAACTCCAGCTCTGGATGTGTCGTAATCTAACAAAAAAGATTATTTACCACTCGTGTGTGTGAATTAAGTCCTCGAGTCAACAGATAAATTAAATTAGAACAATTTTCATAATTGAATTAAAATGTGAAACATTGGCTGGTTTCAAGTTTAGTTTCTTTTTACTGTTTAGATTTATTATTGATGAGAAAAAATGAGCGATGTGAAGACATCACCTTTAGCTCAGCTGTGGCATCATCACATGATCAGTATTTTGTCTGTATTTGATGCCTCTGCACTGGCGACAGGCGTATTGTTTTCAGGTTGTCCCTCCTCCGTCCCTCTCATTCTCATGGACGCGATATCTCAGTAACGCCTTGAGGGAATCCCTTCAAATTTGGCACAAACATTCACTTGGACTCAAGGATGAACTGATTAGCTTTTTGTGGTCAAAGGTCAGAGGTCACGGTCACAGTCACAGTGACCTCATAAAACACTTTTCTTCACACAGCAATTATGAGAAAATTTCACACAAATGGTTGATATTTTATCTGACTCTGGATAAACAGGGACGGGGACAGGGAAACTAGTCACGGGGAGGTGACTCTAGTATTTTACAGTGCTCACCTCTTTCAAACGTTATATGGTCCTGCTTCAAGTGACAGATGCAGTGAGCGGCCTGTAGACTGAACACCACAGCAAAACCTCTGTCAGCTCACATTAGATTTGAACAGATGTTAACCGCCACTGTGAGCTGAGTGTGTTAAAATGAGGGAGCTTTTGTTGCTTATGAATTTAAATTTTCCTTTCTAACAGGAAAAATGATTCATTTTTTCTTCACATTTAATGCACCTCATCACATCTTACATTATAAGATCTATTATAAGCAGCATTGACTGCATGTTATTCTGTTGATGCAGATTATATGATGTTATATAAATTAGCTTCTCATGACGTTTCATTCAGATTCACACAGGTCTAGTTACTGAAATAAAGAAGTTCAGTGCCAGCTTGTAGTGAACTGTCAGCAGACAGCCTTTGCTCTGGTGGAAATGTGTTTGAATCTGATGAAAGAAATCTACCTCTCTGTCCCATCTGTGCCTCCTCTCTCCTCGCTGCCTCACCACCTGGCCTCCCCCCTCCCTCTCTCTCTTCCCCTCTTCTCTCTCCTTGTTTACTGCTGTTTTTCATTTTCTTCCTGTTTTCCTGACTTCATAACTACCCTCTCATCTCATTTATTCTTGTTTTGAATCAGCTTGTCTTTCCTAGTCTGCTTATTTTTTGTAACTTCCAAACATTAGGTAATGTATTTTTTTTGTCCAGTTGGTATGGAAACCAGTTGTACAATCTCAGTATGAGTTATGGATTTGCAGTATATACTGATGTGATTTTCATGGTTTAATGTGATGGTAATTGTTATATTGAATGACATGCAGACATAGACATAGAGAGCCTGACTGCTGTATTCTAATGGTGCAGCCTCGTGTTTTTCCCTGCAGGTGTGTGTTGCAGTCAGAGTGTGCTCGTGGGAACCAGCCAGGTCAGTGGCTGTGGAGCTTCGACATGGAGCAGCAGTGTCTGACTGTCCGGGACCTCAGCCCCTCCAACATCAGCAGGAAGGAGAGCAGGATGGTAAATATGTTAGACATAAACTCCAGCAGCAAAGGATCAAAACAAACCGATGGATGTGCCTGTGCACATCCCTACCGAAGATTTGAGAAAGGAGGAGGATCTTTGTTGCAGAAACACATCTTTTCTGGTTTCTGTTGACTGCAGATTAAGATAAAACTATCCACTTCAAGTATTGACAGGCTTTTCTTTTGCATATCTTGCAATACAGAAAGCACAGATTCCTGGTCTGATGGAACCGTCTGTGTTTTGGATATGCAAGTTTGTTGAAAGACAAGGAATCGAGAGAAGATCGTGATCAGAGGCCCTTTTCCTGTCATCAACATGTATCTGCTCACAAGAGATCAACTCTCAGTACATCAGTACATCATCTCAGTACATCAGTTCACACCTGGTTTTAGAATGCAGCTTTCAATGTCTCGAGTGACCACTTGTGATCAGATCTCACGTCCCCGCTCTAAAATGCAAATGAACATGTATGCATTGTTGTTTTTAGTCAGTCCCATGGGTCTGTTTTCAATGTTTGGTAGAGAAAGGAGAGAGCTGCACAAAGAGGGGTTGAGCTAATCAATGCTCTGCTCACAGCTCTACAACGAAATCAGGTTCCAGCCAATTGAAATAGTAAAATATTTTGGGTTCATTATAAAATATATTTGGACTTATCAGACCGTGGCAGAGGACGTCAGTAGAGTAGGTGGCCCAGGACACATTAGCATTCACACTGCTAAAAGAACCTCTGAATGTGGTCTGAGTGATCGGATCTCAAATGTGTCCTCAATGCTTCAGAGACAGATGTTGATACCAGGTCTGAACAGAGCCAGGTGTCCTGGTGTAGTACAGGAGCACAGTATCAGTCATCTGTGTGGAACATGGTGCTGTGGGTCGCAGCAGATACACAAAATACACTTTACAAGACAACGGTTCAAGAACGGACACTTTGCATAAGTCAAAATATTCTAAAACCAGTTAGGATCAAACATGTTTTCTTAGTGCTATAAATATAAGTAGCTCAAATGGCTAAATGTTAGGTGGGTTTTTTAGTGCCTATAGCTATTATATGATGCCACGGATGATATAACAGCTGCCATGCTAATGGATGGGCACATAAAAACGTCCACCAGTCGGGCTTACTATGACTTTTGGTTGTGATCCGAGTAACCATGGCTTTCACTAATTCAGGATGTTCTGGATGAATGCTACCATGAAGTGCTCCCTCACATCCACTCACAGCATCTAACAGCTGACTATCCTTGATACGTACCAAGCACCAGGCACACTTAAAATTTCTCAGTTATTCTCACTCCTGGCAGTCTGCACTGTAGATGTTTGAACATTGACCACTGAGGTGGCTAGTTTTGTGTAAAAACACCTTATCAAATCAAATTTCATCATATTTGTCATGGTAAACACTGCAGAGATTTAAGGATATCAGTGATAAAACAGGAAGTCATGGACAAAACGGCAGACAAAAAGACCATGGTTTTGTTAATTATACGGTGGCTTCAGAAAGTATTCAGAGGCCTTAACATTTTTCTACAGAAGCCCAGAAAGGGAATCTTGAGATAATCAGATCATTATTATGTTATCTCAAGATAAAAAATATTTCTCAGCTTCTGTATTTTGCACACATTATTATGTTGTAGATTTCATTTTACATGGATAAAATTTCCAGTTTTGGCATTAATCTATTCTCATTAACCCATTATGACAAAATGAAAACAAGATTTTTACAAACTTTTGCAAATTTATTGAAAATAAAAAACTGAAATCTTAGTTTTGGCATATTCATCCTGTTGATGGGAGTCCACCTGTGGCAGATTGTATTGCCAGGTTCAGTGGCTCACTCACCAGCATGGATATTTGAATGGTGCTGTTACTTTCTTCAGGTTTAATTGGTAAAGTCATATTTGCAGCCTAGGAATACATTCATTATAATATGCTTCGCTTTCAAGTGTTAATTACATTGAATTATGCAAACAGCGTTACTAGGCAACTGACAACAAAATGGATGCTGACATGTTTCTCTGTTATCTCCACTAAAGTTATTATGAATGGGAAAAGTACCAACAGCAAAAGTAACAAGCTAACACAAAGACACAGCTGGAGACAGGCGGGCACACATGTATGTGTACAAAAAGGATGTGTTACTCATAGAGTTAAGGAAATCCTCAGGTTAAATATTATTCCACTTTACTCCTGTCTCAGTTCATGCTACAGCGAGATTACTAGATCATTTCTCTGCGTTTGTTCAGACAGTGTAGAAGAAAAATATGTTATGCTACATATGGTGATAAAGCTTCATTTCAACTTCATCAACTGCATTTTTAAGCAATGGTATATGTGAGTGCAGATAAACAGTTTTGAGCAGAGCAAAGTTTCAGTCAAGCAGGGTCTATTTGAGAAAGAGAGAAAAGCATCACAACATCTAACAGGAAATGAAGAAATAATGCTTTCAAAATAAAAGACCACTCCCTTGAATAAAGAGAAGAAAGAAATTACTATGTCTGCATACCTGCTTGTTCATGCAAATATCCAATCAGCCACAGCAGAGTTTACTCACAATGGAGCCAAAACAAAAAGCATCCAGTGAGCAGCAGCTCTGTGGAGGAAACACCACAGGTCAGAGCAAAATTGCCAAACTGGTTTGAGCTGACAGAAAGGCTACGGTAACTCAGATAACCACTCTTCACAACCGAGTTGAGCAGAAAATCGTCAAACCTTGAGGTGGATGAGGTTTCCACTGCTGTCAGCCAAGAACGGATATGTGAGGCTGCAGTGCGCTCACCAAAAATGGACAGTTGTAGACTGGAAAAATGTAGCCTGGTCTGGTCAACAACATGAATCCATGGACCAACCTGGCTTGTGTCAACAGCCCAGGCTGGTAGTGGAGGTTCGACCGGCATTCAAACCATGATTGATTGCTGTTAAGGCCCAAAGTGAGTCAAGAAAACATTTCTATGTGAGTATTGTTGCTGATCATGTTCATCCCTTCATGGCCACAATTACCAACCACAATTTACCATCTTTTCATGGCTACTTCCAGCACGATAATGCTCCATGTCACAAAGCTAAAGTCGTCTCAAACTGGTTTCACCAACATGACAGTGAGTTCAATGAACTTCAGTTCTATATTCTATACAAGTGAGCAGATCAGATTTCTGTTTCAGACAGTTTAATCACTTACTGTCATTGTGACCTCCACTGTCCTCTGCAGCAGCACAGGTGTGGACTTACTAATGCTGTATTTTGTCCAGTGACTCTGCATCAGTCTGGAAGTCCGTTCTCTACCAGTCTGCTGCTTGATGTTGGCTGTCACACAGAGAGGCCTTTTAGCACCATGTGGTTTTAGTCTAATCTGGACCCCATATGGATTTTTGAAATCCCCATGTGGAGGAGCTCTGTCTGAAGTGATCCACCAGTGGTTTGAAACCGTGTTACTGTCTCATCTTTTCTCAGGTGTCTTTGTCAGTCCCGGGTCTCCCAGTGTTGGAGAAAGATGAATCTTACTCCTGCTTCTTCCAGGACAGCCACAGTCCTGCCACTGTAACCAAAACAGGGGTCAAATGCCATTCACCTGACAGCAGCAGAGTACCCATGGTGCCTCCAGGACAGGGTGAGTGTGCTTTAACTCCAGATTTTCTGGAACAAAGCTGATGAAGCTGGAATCCCTCTATTTAGGCTAACCCAATCCATTTTCCTAAGCCACTTTATACAGCAGGGAGTCATCAGTATTTTGGAGCATAAATCCATTAGTGCTTATTCTTCGTGGGTCGTGGGGAGGCTGGAGCCATTCCCAGTTGATAGTGGGCGAGAGGCAGGGTACACCCTAGACAGGTCAAAGGTTAAAACCTAAACAAACTGCTCTCCATGAATCTGTTCCATCTAATGATTCTGTTCTTTGTTGTGTAGTTTTGTTGGCTGTCGACTGTCACACGAGCAGCTTGTTTGTTAGTAAGTCAGGGAATATGATAAAAGAAGATTAAAGGGGCTTGTAAATAAAAATGGAAGCCTCTACAGATGTCACACTCACCCAAACATTCAAATGGTTTGTGTGTCTCTCTGTGCCTCTCTCTCTCTTTCTCTCTGTCTCACACACACACACACACACACACACACACAGAGAGAGAGAGAGGTTCCCATGCCTGCATTCCTGAAACTTGCAGCTTGTTGTAGTTCTCAGGGTGCAGGGCTCAGGCAGAATCAGCCTGGGGGTTTACTGAGATTTGGACACACAGGCTGTAATTAAGGATTTAGCTGTAGCTTAACTTTACTTAAAGAGGGTTAGTGCCAGCACTCACTTAATAAAAATGGAGCTGAGGGCCTCTAAGGGCAACTGTTGCTTTAAAATTGAAGATGAGATTCTCACCTGACTGCTGCCTGTTTTACAAAGCTTCTGAAGTGGGTACAAACACTCATGATGCACGACTCTGGGTTGAAGCCCTTTTGCTCCCTACAATAGGAAGCAGCTCAATCGACCAAGATTAAAGCTGCGAGCTGCAACCAGAAGGTTTAAGCCGAGCAATGTCACATCAGCTAGTTTAATTCGGTTTACAGAAGGAGTGCCACCACACACTTGTTTAATCACAAAGCCTGCAACATTTCAATAAGTATGCATCCAACGTCCCACCATTTGTGACCAGTTCATCAGATTTAGGAGATGGCACAAGATGTCTGACTGGATTGCTCAAAGACATCTTAAGTTATGAGCAAATATATGATATGGCACTTCAGAGTTAGGTAAATACTTGCCTCCAGAGCATGTTCACCAAATTTTGTGAGATTTTGTCCACCAGGTTCTGAGGTACACGTTATTGGTGTTTGTGACTCCTCCTATGGATCGGGTTCAAAATGCTTTGTCAGCCTATTCCCAAACATGGCCTGAAAATACTACGATACCGACATTTATGATGATTTGACAAATGGTTAATGAAGTAATTTCCTGATAAACCCTTGTGAAGTTCATGGGTCAGTATCATGAAAACTAAATAAGATATTAAAAAGCTTTATACAACTTGATAAACTTGGTTCAAAGATGATCTACAGAAAACCGATTGGTAGCAACTGGACCCACAGTTTTAGGAGGAGATGTCAAAAAATTCAAATTAGTGGAAAATCCGTCATGTCAGACTTATGGTCCAAGAGGCTTTTTTTGTAGAGCACATTGAGCTGAACTCGTGTGTCAAAGTTCAAGTCAATCAGTGTGAAGGACGTGGTCTTTCCAAAATTGCATTTTTAGCCCTTAATTACAGCGCCACCATTTGGCCAATTAGACTCATATTTTGTGGGAAGAACTTGCACATCATTTCCAGTTGTTGTGTGTTGTGTGTTATTGTGTTAAGTTTCATGTTTAGATGATCAACATTCTTTTCATAACGTTTGGTGTGGAGAGTCCATAGATTCTAAGTGCGAATCAGACTCACAGCCCAAGTAGGTTTTGCATATTTTGCAAAACAAAACTCTAGGAGGAAATGAGCGTGGCCTATATTACGAGTTTCAGCTAAAAATGAAATGAAAAATGAACAAAATAAGACTTACAGCATTTCTCCTCTATGTTGAGCCTGTGTTTGAGAGGAGGGAAGTCTCAGAGCCTTGAGCCCACTGTATTACGTCTGAGGATGGAGGGCGCTCATGGGTTTTATAATGCTTCTGTGTTTTGGCTGTCTGGACAGAATCTTCTCCCATGTTCCCTCACTTGTGTTTTGAGGAACATCGTACTCATCTCAGACTTTCTTAGTCAGAGATGATAAGCCAGGCAAAATATTTCCAGAGCCCTGCCTGCTCAGCTCTGTACTGATGTTACCCTGTGTTGTTTTTCATGCTGTCTTTCTCTCTGTTTTGTTCTTCTCAGACTTTGTCACAGTCACATTGTCTCTGCGTTTTGGAGACGTCACCGTCACAGCAAGGGATTTCATCTTCTATGACTGCATGGCTGTTAAGCAACTGTCTGGCAGCATGCCGTGAGTTACCACTGAGGATTTATACGTTCTGCTCTCCTTGTCTCCTCCTGACCTTCTCTGCTCATTTCTAACTGCAGATCTTGTTGTCAAGTCTTATTCTCTATCTTGTCCCATTTTTCATCCTGGTCCTTCTTTGTCTCTCAATCAACTCATCCTTCACCTTCTGTCTTATCTCTGTTTTTCTGCCAAACCTGTGAGCCTGTACTCTCTTAAACTTCAGCAAAGATTTCTTTCATGTCCATATATCTCAATTTATACACTCACCAAGCACTTTATTAGGAACACCTGCACACCTGCTTATTCAGGCTGTTATCCAATCACCCAATCATGTGTCAGCAATGCAGAGAATAAAGTCCAGCAGATCCTAGTCAGGAGCTTCAGTTCGTGTTCACATCAAACCTTAGAATGAAGAAAAATGTGATCTCAGTGACTTTGACTGTTGCATGATTGTGTCAGACAGGAAACGGTTTGTTGATGAGAGAGGTCAGAGGAGAAAGGACAGACTGGTGGGAGCTGACAGAAAGGATATGGTCACTCATATAACCACTATTTACAACTGTGGTGAGCAGGAAAGCTTTGTAAGAGCCATATTAATAATTGGTAAGCTGTATTTAGTAACTCAGTTGTTAAAGTGTTACCAGTTACATCACTGCCAATAGCTCTCAGTTGGAGTTAATTAGTATGTGGAGCAAGACAGTTTTTAGCAAAGTCGAGCACAAAGAGAGAGTCTTATTTTTGCTCTGAGTAAAGTTGCTGCTTCTGAAGATTCAGTTCGCGTCAAGCTTATTGCCAATACCCAGACTAACACAGCAGTGGGTATCTACCACTCCACTTCCTGTCACCAAGACCAGAAACCTTAGGCTGCAGGGGACACAGACTCACCAACACTGGACAGTTGAAGACCTGGTCTGATGGATCTGGTCGGGTCAGAATTTGGCATCAGCATCATGAATCCACTGACTCAACAGTCCAGGCTGCTGGTGGTGTAATGGTGTGGGGAATGTTCTCTTGACTCACTTTTGCCCCTTGATACCACTCAATCATGGTTTAAATGCCACGGCCTCTCTGAGTACTGTTGCTGGCTATCCCTTTATGGAGATACACAAGGTATGTTATTCTGTCAGATGCAATGGAAGATGCTCAAACTCTGAGACAGCTGCCACAGTGAGAGAAGAACTGAACCAATAAAATGATGGGAATCCAAAAAATCTTTGAAACATCTCAGTTAATTGGGGAACAATGGCAGTGATTGGAGGTTCAGCTGAATATTATCACCCAACGGGTCTGACCTCATGAATTTCATTCATACCTGAGAGGAAATTTATAGAATGCTGCCAGTTCTCATGGATTATCATACACATCAAATCATTCAACAGGAAATGATACTTTACTTTCCTATGCCGTCCACACTTTTTCAAAATGTAAGAACTTTGTCAGTTTGAAAGAGGTAAAGAACAATGGAAAGCATGTGTAAGGGGGACCTGGAAGAAAATATAATAAACTAAGTAAAATAAGATAAACAATGAGGTCAGAGTAAAAAAAAGAAACACAAAAAAACATTACAGGGTCAATCATTTAATACTTCCACAAAATCTCCCCTTATTGGCCTCACATATTTGATTCACTTCAGTTTAATAAATTCAGCTTTCTTTAGACGGAAAGAAAAAATAATCTTTTCCATGACATAAATGTCATTAACTACATCTTTCCAGTCCTGTATCGTTGGGGGTTCAGGAAGTAGCCTGCACCTTGCCTGAAAATCAATAATTCGTGGAATTCTTAGTGTGGAAAATTGCAAGGGCAGATCATTGTCAGATATGCTTTTTAGTGCTTTGTGAAACTCGTCCCAGAAAGACGTAATAACTGGACAATCCCAGAATATATGCCAATGGTTTGCTTCCTGAAATCCACACTTGGCCTCAGCTGCTGTAAAATGTGTTTTCTGTTTTGGTGTGATTTTAAAAAAAAAAAAAAAAAACATTTCCAGCCAAACTCCCGCCACACATGCAGACGAGTGTTGGTGCATTTGCACTGGTGTTTACACACATCTAACCAATCCTCATTTGATATTGTAAGGTTGCCCTCTCTTTTCAGTTTAAATTGATTTATAACAGGAGTTTGTGCTCCCACTCAACCAACAGTAGAATTGTTTCCTGCTGCACATGGACAGTTTACAGTGGACTGGGTCCTCTGGTTGGTCAGCTCAATTCAGGGAATATTTCCAGTAACAGAAAGTGAAAAGAACAAGAGAGAAAAAGCTGGTTTGCTTTAAAAATTAAGGAAAAGTAATAATAATCAACCTAATCAAATTGGATGAAAATGTTGTACCTACCTGCGCAGTATCTTCCTGATCTCCTTCACTGTTCCAATCACTCTGATAAGAAACTGAAGCTCATTTCATTTAGACCACTGACCTTTTTTACCACTGGGGGCAGATTGGCAGCAATTGGATTACCTTTTGTGCTACAGGCTAAAGTAGCTGTATCTGTCCTTTTCCATACCTATCCATCCTTCTTGTCCTGTCTCTCGCTTGTTGATAAAAAAGCTTGTCCTACTTCTATTAGACTTTCTGGTCGACCTCTACACGTTTCTCCTCATAGCTCCTTATACCCTGACTCATTGTTTATCACCACCGTCGTTATTTTATGTCTCTGATCTGTGCATTTTGTTGTTTCTGTCTGCAGTTGCCGCGGTTGTGTTTTGAGCCAGTGGGGCTGTAACTGGTGTGTTCACCAGCACTTGTGTACCCACAAGCCCACCTGTGAGGAGGGGGTGATCATCTACAACCAACATGTAAGTTACAGAAATGTCATTTTACAGCTGTGGAAAATCAGCACTCACTGAGGTTTAAAATACAAGATTTAGACCCAAGGTCACTACTGTCTGGACCCAGGCACCGTCCTATCCAGTGTTTCTATTTTCAGTTATTTTTCATGGGCATTTTTGCTTTTTGGGATGACATCAGCCTTAAAGGTACACACTCTATCAAGCGGAGTGTTTCTGTTTTATAGCCTCCTGTGTTATTTTTCTGACAACTTTACACACTGCACAAAAGGATCCAGAGTTTGAGACCATGCATGTGAAGTACGAACAGTTGAAAACATCAACCCTGACTCCAGAGGGTTTTAACAATCACAGCTTTTGTAGCCTTTACGGCACTGTTCACATGATGCTACTCAGCCGATCTTTACAACTCGAGTCAGTGAGTGAGATCCATACACAGGGGAGAGACGATAGTGAGAGACATAGGTGGGAGAGTGAGATATAGAAGAGAAAGTTGAGGAGTGGAAATAGAGTTAAAATAGAGAAACTCAAGCTCCACTTTTTATGTAATTTTTCTAAAATTAAGCTCTATATTTTAAAATGCACATTTATATAAAGCTCCCGGCTGTTGTATGTGTGTATTACAGCCTTTATTTTACTTAAAGTGAGAAACTAAAGTAGATGGTGTGGTTTGGTTCTTTTAATTAATTAATCTCTTAATTAAATTTACAGAACAATTACTTTATTGTGATATATACAGTTACTGTGATAGAAGATTACTCCTAGCTTAAACAACTAAAAAATGCAACATATTCACTGGATTATTTAGAAAATGCAACTTGTCACTGCGGATTCATTCCTGGAAAAAGATCAGTTTGCTGCTGTGAGGCGAAGTTGCTGAAAGAAACAGAGGATTTGGATATTGAACCTTAAAGCTTGTTCTTCTGTGCAGTCGTAACACTTTCAGGACGTAACAGTTTCAGGCTGCGGTACATGGTAAGACTCAAGTAAATACGAATTATTAATGTGCAGTGTAAAACAAATCCAATTCAGTCCATCACGCAGTGACTGGAAAGTTGAGAATTTTATGTTTCCTAACAATACCCACTTTACACACAAAGATGCAATATGAAAGTTTTCATATAGTTGTCATATAATATGGTTTCTTGCTGGGAGTGGATGGGGTGCCAAGAACTTCAGCCATTGTTGTATTTCAAGACACTAAACAATACACTCCTTCTCCTCTTCATTCAGCCGCTGCAGGATACAGTCACTCATTAAAGTTATAAAACAAAAAAAAATTCTTGCACTGGTTCATTGGTGGTATTTCTCTTCTTGAATGTGTTTGTCTGAACCCCAAATATGAGTATATGACAGAAGTATTTTTGATCCATGGCAACCTGGTTAGTAGATAAATGGTCACTTTTCCTATTTTGCAATAATTTATCTTTACATACATTCATTAATTCTCATAAATGTGTTGTCGTGCCTCCTTTGTCAATACAAGCCTGCATTATTTGTAACAAAAATCATTGCTATGCATATGTCATAAACAACAATAACACCAGGTTATGTGTTTAACATCACATTTACATTCAGTTATCGGTTGTTTCCATTTTCTCTTGTCTGTTTTTTTTATTTATTTTTTTTTATTATTTCGATCTCACCCTCTCCTCATTTCCCCCCATCCTTCTCCCCCAGTTTGACCTTCCCACCTCAGCTCCTCCCCCATCTAAACCTATTAAAGTAATCACGACACCCAGTACCACAACAGCTGCCCCAACAACCACTGCCATGACAACCACCCCAACTCCTTCCACAACAACACCAGCAATTTTCGTCACAACAACTGCAGCCCCTGTCACTGTAGCAATCACTCAGGAGGCAACCACCCCTCCCACGCCCACTACTCCACCTACAACCACCACCAGCCCTGAGCTGACCACCCCACCAACCACCCTGCCCACTCAGCCTGCCACTACCCTGCCACCCACCACAGCAGTCCCAACCACACCTCCACCTCCAGTGGGCACCACCACGAAGGATGAAGGGACTGAAGCAGGAGAGCTTGTCGCTGTCACACTGAGTGACACCAAAGGTGCAGCAGTTACATCCAGTGTTGTTATGGTGACTGCAGAGCCGGTGACTGCAGAGCCGGTGACTGCAGAGCCGGTGACTGTAGAGCCAGTGCTTGTCACCATGGCTGATGGTCTAAGTGGAGATCTGGACCCTATGATGCCTCTGATGATCCCGGACTCTTCCCCCCTGGAGGTGGTGATGGAGTCGCCCCCCAGCGACACCCAGGAAGCTGAGGGAGCACTGAGCCTGGCTGAGTCTCCCACCCCGGCCTCATCTGGCTTCCCGCTGCTCACACCTTTCCCTGTGGGTGAACCAGCCGACTCTGAGCTCTACCAAGACCTGCCCCAGACACCCATCCCGATGCCCACACAAGACACTGAGGCAGGAAGCCTGGAGGTGCTCCTCTGGCCAAAGGAAGTGGATGTCCATGCTCAGGGTGCAGTCCAGTCAGAAAATGACACAGCCACATTTTCAGCTGCCACTGTGTTGTCAGGCGATGGTGAGGTTGACCACGCCCCCTCATCCTATGCCCACCTGTTGGATACTGACTCACAGCTGGACTACCAGTATGGTCCAGCTGATGCTTTTCTCCCGGTGAGTTCAGCCGCCTCCTTTCGCCTCCTTCTTCCTCTTCCTCTATTATTTCTTCCTCTCAAAGCTTCAGCACCCTCCCATCGCTCCCAGCTCCTGACTGGACTTTATACTCCTGCTATGGGAACAAAGCTCAAACCAGCTTCCCAGTCTGCCCTTGTTTCCCCCTCCTCAACTGTCTGACACCTGTGTTGTTTTTGTTGTTTTGCTGCTTCAGTGTGAGCTGCAGTGGTTGTTTTTTTTTTGTGGATGAATTGAAATTAAGGATCATAATAAAAGAAAATAGTGTCAAAGACAACAATTAAATGACCTCCAAGTCCAAGAAAACAAAGGTTTTTGAAAGCTCTTTTTAAAGGGACAGACCTAATATGTACAGGCATCATGTTCCACAGGTTCATAATTACAATGAAAACTAGAATTACTGCTTTGCTTCCTCCACTCAGACTTATTTCAGGTTACATCCGTTTATCCAGAGTTATATAAAATATGAACCATTTGCTTGAAATTTTGTCATAATTGCTGTGTGAAGTCTTGGGTTATGATTAGATAGTGTTTTGGGAGGTCACGCTGACCTTGACCTTTGACCACCAAAATCTAATGAGTTCATCCTTGAGTCCTAGTGAATGAATACTAATTCATATACTAGGACACAATATAACTCAAATGTCTATAAGGATAAAATTATATATCCAAAAGGTCAAAGGTCAATTTCACTGTGACATCATAATGTTCCATTATTCAACGCTGTAGGTCAGGAAGGAGAGATTGTGACCATATTTCATGCAACTTGGCTGGTTGGTGGGGGAAACAACCACAAGGCTGTAATTCTGTCTTATTTTTATTTACAAAATAACTTATATAATCTCATTAAAAAACACATGTTGTGCCATTAATATAAACAGTATGGTTCATTTAACCTGCAGTGTCACTATGCCAGCTCAAAGGATCATAAGGGAATATTGTTCTATATGTGTTAGCTCATGCAAACATAACCAGAGAGAGTGAGGAAGAGATGATGTGTGTTTGTACTTTATAGACTATGTGTGTGTGTTTGCATGTGTGTGTACACAGGTCTTTCTATGTTTTATGAGGACAAATTTTGGTTTGAAACCATCGCTGTGAGGACATATGTCCAGGTTGTCACAGCTTCAAAGGGATTTTTGTCAAGTGTAGGTTTTAGGTTAAGATTAGGAATGCATGATGTCAATGTGTGTCCTCGCAGCTAACATAAGACGCGTATGCGTGTGTATGTGCGTGTGTGTGTGTGTATTGAACAGGGGGACGAGGGCTCCTATGTCAGCTGGGGTTCCTCAGCTTGTCCCTGTGTGGAGAAGGTCCAGGGTTCATCACTGATTCCTGTCAGAGTGGAGAGGAAGATCACTTTATTGGCCCGCAACCTGCACCTCTATCAGGTACAACACACACACTCAGCCTCAGCACATGTCAGGTATAATGCTGTTTGCCTGGCCAGCGATTTCTATATCACTCTATATAAACACCAAGTCTTTTGTGTGTTCAGGACACAGAGCTGGACTATGAGTGTGTGCTGGTCATTGAAGGACAGACGGTGGTGGTGGACGCCTATGTGGAAACTGATGACATGAATCCATTCAACTTTGACATCACATGTCAACTACACCAGGTCTGACAATGTGCAGTTACTCATGATCATTTCTTTTATTGTGACTGCGTAGCAAGTAACAGTGGAGTGTATTTCTTTAAATGAAACCATTGCTATTTGTCCAGTACACATATTCAGCTCCAGTGGAGGAATACAACGCCATGGTGTATGTGAAGAAGAGGGACACCTTCCATGTGGACAGCTCTACTGATCTGTATGGTGAGGGTTAGGTTTCATTGTATTACACCAGACATCAAGGGTTTTTTTCTCTGAAGCCATCCCAACAACAACTTGACAACAGCACTCAATAGCAAGACATCGACTGATGCTCTTCTCTGTCTGTCGTGCCGTCAGTGACTCTGTACAACTGCTCTGTGGGCCGATCTGACTGCAGCCGCTGCCATACAGCTGACCAGAAGTATGGTTGTGTGTGGTGTGGCACTGCTCAGGCCAGCTGCTTATATTCAGACTCCTGCAACGAAGCAGTACAGCACACATGCCCTGCCCCAGTCATCCATTCTGTGAGTACACACCTTTGTAGTCATGATTTATCATCAGATCAAAGATCTTTCTTTACCATCAAATTTTCAAATAATGAAATGGAATAGAAAAGATAACCAAAAAATCCCCAAAATGTATTTTTTGACTTGCCTCAGATTGAGCCGCTCTCCAGCCTGTTAGAAGGAGGGACCATGGTGACAATCTCAGGCTCCAACCTGGGCCAGAAGGCTGAAGATATCCTTGACTCTGTGTCAGTAGCTGGGGTGGCATGCACCGTCATCCCCAGCCTCTATGAGGTCTCCTCCAGGTACACACCAGCTGTTTCTGGGGATTTTTTTTAAGGAATTTGATTGAATCTAATGAAGACTGAACTGATTTCTCAATATTTACTCGAATGCATTGAGTGCTTGCATAACTTGATAATAGCAAAGTGAAAAGGAAAATGTTCTTGAATTCAACATTGTCAGTGTCCATGTGTAGTTTTAAAAAGAACCATCCCAAGTGTGATGTCTGTCTTCCAGGATTGTGTGCAGGACCAAAGCCAGTGGAGGAGAGAAGGTGGGCCATGTCTCTGTCAAAGTGAGTGGAGGAGGGTTTGGCCTGTCCAGCCAGACATTCAGCTACCAGGTACATTAGATTACATTTAATTTCATTACAATGTATTACATTAGGTTTTGTTGACCTGTCTGTGAAAATTGGGCTGTTGCAGAAGCAGATAGCTATAGCATATGTCGAAAACCATCAAAATGTCTGAAACATACAGTTATAACAAATAAGAGAAATTAAACTTGTGATATCATCAGATTATAAAATAACAATAATAATAATAAACTTTATTTATAGATCACTTTGCATACAAGAGATGTAGCTCAAAGTACTTTACAATAGAATATCAAATAGTACAATAAAGTAAGGGAAAATTGAAGGACAATGAAAATAGACAAAAGAAAGACAGTAGATGATAAAATATGCAAATGAAATAAAGATAGAAAACAGTAATAATAGTTAAATATGAGAGAATTAATTAAAAGCCAAGTTAAATAGATTTCAGCTGTTGCTTGAAAATGTTCACTATGCATCTCTCTAGCTCTTGGCAGGATTTTCTGTAGTTTAGGGGAATAGTTTTTAAAGAAAAGCTGCACCGCACCGTGTATATTTAAAAGCCTGGCAGTAGAAGATCTGAGTGCTCATGAAGGATTATAAAATGACAGAGAATCTGCAAAGTAGGCCGGTCCCAAACCGTGAAGAGCTTTAAAAACAAGTAAAAGGACCTTAACATCTCTTCTCGAAGATACCGGGAGCCAGTGGAGTGAAGCTAAAACCAGGGTAACATGCTCTCTCTCTGTCTGTCTCTCTGTCTCTCTCTCTCGCTCGCTCTCTCTCTCTCTCTCTCTCTCTCTCTCTCTCTCTCTCTCTCTCTCGTTTTAGATAAAAGTCCAGCAGCACAGTTTTGAATAAACTGGAGTCTTTCAGTTGACTGCTGCAGAAGACCAGTAAAAAGAGCAGTGCAATAATCTATTTAAGATAAAAGCAAGAATAGGTTTTTCACTATCTTTATGGATTAGGAACGGCCATACTTTGGCCATATTTCTTAAATGATAAAAAGCTGCTTTGGTCCCATTCTTTATATGTGAAATTTTGAATTAATCTCCTGATTTTTTTTTTTGTTTGTTAAATCTATAAAATGTAAGAAAATAGTAAAAAAAAAAAATGTCCATCACAAGGTGTGATATTTTCCAAATGCTTCAAACCCAAACCCGAAGATATTTCATTTACACACCTTCACCTTAAATTCATTTTCAGATTTAATGAATGACCTGAATGTTGATATTCATTACCGCCTCATTTCTCTTTTTGTAAAACCCAAACAAGCCTGACAGCTGACAACCTGGTGATTTAGAGATTACATGAACGAGATTATTGAAATTATTTAAATTGTTGACCATTCATTTTCCATAAATTGACTAAACAATTTATCAATTTAAGAACTGCATTGAATATAATATCATTATCGAATTGTAGCAGAGTGTGTTAAACATCATTCACAGGATGTTCAATTTTAGCCATCAAGGTGTCTTGACATATTTATGACATTTCAAATGTCAATGTTAAATCCATATGTAGACATATTTTACAACAGTGGAGTGATCTGAAGTTTCTTTGGCATCACAATCACCCTCAGAAGAGTCTTTTAAAATCTTAATCACACAGCCAGTAGATGTGAAAAGTAGAGCCCAACTGGACAATATACATTTTTTAACAGAAACACATAACATAAAGAATTTTGATAAAGATTTGCTTACATGTAGTTATTGATGAATGGAGAGTCTAATAAGCCTGCTGATATTACCAGTTCTAGCCAGCTGTTTTGAAATGTGATTTCTTTGGCTTTAGTTCTTTAAAAAAAAAAAAAAAAGAAGTATTTTAGTGAGACATTTGAGATAAACTACAGGTGTAATATCCTCCAACTCTGTCTGTATTTGCATGCCAGTCACAGATATATTTACCACTACATCACTGAGGCAGAGTGAATACAAAGAATAGAAATAGAATAGAAAGACAGCTAATTCGCAGTGTTTTTCTGACAAGCCATGGTATTAGCTAGCTTTGTGGCTATCAAATTTAGCAACAGATAAAGTGCAAGCATGTGTTTTATACAAGCAGCAACCTATGAGGCTGGAAAATGAAGCCAACACTGAATTACCCAAAACTGCAGTTCCTCTAATGACCACTAGAGTCTGGCTCCAACAGAGAGTCAATCCCCATAGACTCCCATGTTAAAATGTCCAACTTTACAGCAGAAATAAACATGTTTACAGCCTGGTATAAAATCAGTTTTGGTCTCTATAGCTAATTTACTCATTCATGACAACTGTTGATATAACTCACCTGTTTACATTTTATTAAGACTTAAGAGTTAATCATAATTGAGGGTGTGGCCTCTTTGAGTGACAGGTGGGTGACAGACAGATCCACAAATACCAAGTCTGTGTTCTGCAGCAGTCAGCTGAGCTGTAATGTGTATGGTGAATGAGGGATTGGAGTGTTGCCAACAGTGGAGTGGCAGCGCTCTCTGATGGACAAACTATGCAGTAGCAACACTGGTAACAAAATAGTTCAAGTGCCTATCTATGGCTTTCCATTCCGTTATAAATGCCAATACTGATTTATCTGCCATTAACTTAAAGCGGCCAATAAACTCGGCCCACCAATGTAGCGGTCAGGCTCTGCTTAAAAGCCATTGTTCAGTCCAAAGTAATATAAATTGCCAGCACAGCAGGTTAGTAATGAGTTCCTCTGTGTATTTGTGCAGTTTATACAATTCTAACTCCGTCCCTCTTCCATCCCCTCTATTCTGTCAGGACCCATTTGTGATGGGAGTGTCACCTGAACAGGGCCCCAAGGCTGGAGGAACGTCCCTGACGATCACTGGCAGAAACCTGCTGACGGGCCGCCCCTCTGACCTCACCATCAGTGTGGGGGGAGTGCCCTGTAACATGTGAGAGACACACAGCTGGACGTGTTTTATTTGTTGTATGATGATCAGATGCTGCTGTTGCCCAGTTTCTCTCTTAGTCTGTCTTCCTGTACCAGAGGGGGAAGAGAAAAAAATCTATCAATCAACTCGTATTAATGTGTGTCTCCTGTGCCCCCTCCTCCTCAGTGTATCAAAAGTGCAGAGATCCAGTGTTCAGTGTGTGACAGGCAGCAGTAATAAGACAGGAGACCACCGGATCACCCTGCATTACGGCAGCAGCCAGCGTCACCTCCACACTTCACCCTACCACTACACCCACAACCCCAACATCACCCATGCCACGCCAGCCAAGAGCTTCATGGAGTGAGTCTCCTAATCTCAACTTTCATCTCTTGTTGTTCAGGAAGTTGTTAGGTGCCATAAACTAAAGCGTGGTTTCTCTGTTTAGTGGTGGGCGATTGATCTATGTGTCGGGCCACTATTTGGACGTGGTGCAGGAGCCTCGGATGGTGGTGACAGTGTCTCCCTTTGAGTCCGTCAGCCAGAGCAAGAGCAAGAGGAGGAAAAGGCGAAGTACAGAGCGGAGGGAGAACAGAGAGAGGACACTGGGAAGGCCGGTCAGGATGATTCCTGACCCTGTCTGTCCTGGAGAACCACTCTGCTCTGTCAAAAAGGTCTGTGTGTGTCAGACAGAATCACTTCTTCTTTTAAAAGCTGATGAAAACCAAACTACCACTCCCTTTACTAAACACCTTTTTTTGTATCCTCCCTGCCTCATCAGTTCATGGAACGCTGTGAGGTGAACTCCTCCTCCCTGATCCTGTGCCGCTCTCCGATGGTGGACTCCTCTATCTGGGGGTCAAAGATCACAGTGGAGTTCCTGCTGGACAACCTGCGCTTTGACTTCAGCAGTTTGAACCCCCAGGCATTCAGCTACGAGCCCAACCCTGTCCTACGCAGCCTGAACCAGCAGGAACCTCTGAATGCATACCGCTACAACCCCGGCAGCTTCATCCAGCTGGAGGTCAGAGGAAAGGCAGTGATAGACAGGCAGCTCTGGAAATCTTAGTTCTGTTAAATGAAAACCATAACCAGGTGTATCAAACTGTCCATGTCACTATTGCTTCTATGGAGTGCTGCAGGCGTCTACACAGGCCATCCACCACAAAACAGCACTGTTTTTCTCTAACATCCTATATTTTTAACACAGGATTTTTGTCATTACACACCAAAAACAAACATCAGGAAATGGAAGTGAAAGTAGATTTCCATGTGTTCTCAGGGAGAAAACCTGGATCTGGCCATCACTAAGGACGAGGTTGTGGTGTTGGTCGGGGAGGGGGTGTGTGCTGTGAAGACTCTGACCAGAAACCATCTGTACTGTGAGCCGCCACCTCAGCAGCCAGCACCAGGACCCAACGGCAAGAAACGAGAGGGCTCCGATAATCTCCCAGAGTTCACTGTGAGTTCACCTGCTTTACCAGAAAAGGGTGGGGACCGTGTGAGCATCTGTCAGGGACAGTCACTGCTGTTGGAAGCCTCTCACTGTTAAATTAAGGGCTCGATGTGTGTATGTGTGTGTTTCAGGTCCAAATGGGCAACCTGAACTTTTCTCTTGGTAAGGTTCTGTATGACAACCTCAGCCTGTCCACCTTCCCCCTGGAGGCTCAGATTGGAGTCGGAGTCGGGGCGTCCATAGTGGCCCTCATCGTGCTCATCATCGTGCTCATCTACAGGTCAGCAGGTGGACTCTGTGTGTGTGTGTGTGTGTGTGTGTGTGTGTGTGTGTGTGAAGCAATGTTTTGATGATACTGAGAACTAACTTTCCGTATAAAGCCCTTCAAGCATGTACCTCATCAGGTAAGAGTGGTGACAGTTTGACATGTCTGAATTGAAAGCTGTCAGGTTACATCAAGTGGCACAAAGTAAAATGTGTAGAGAGATAATGTATGTAGGTTTCCAATGATGCTCTAATGATTCTCCACATCTTAATCCACTTCAAAAAATCCACAGGACCACAAAAGTTGAGCTGTTTACTTCAACACAGACAAAAAAATAATAATACGGAATAGTATCCATTTCCAAAGATACTAAACTAATTAACAAAAGAGAGAAAGAGAGAGAGGTCAAAAAACTGTCTCCCCACTCTCTGCAGCCTGACTGACCTGATATCACTCCCTGCCCCTCCCCTTACGGGAACATCAAAACAGTTCAGGTGTGCAGTAACTAAAAGGCAACAATCATTGTCACCTATTCCTTCATATTCCAAATATAACAAATGGAATTGTATATATTTTAGATTATCCACACACCCACCGTTACTGTAAATATGAACTGTAAATACCTCAACCTGGAAATAGTGTAAATAATCCTTTCTTTTACCACTTACTGTATATTATTATTATTTTACATATGCAATTCAAACGAATTAGTCCAACATTATTAAACTGCATTTAGGCTCCTATAATTTATTTTACTTATTCATTCATTCATTAATTCATTCATTTATTTTTGCTAATAAGTTTTTTCCTTTTCTCACTTTTTATTTTAGTATGTATTTGAATGTTGTATGTCTTATATATTTGATCTTTTTATATATTGTAGTTAATTAATAGTGTTATATATATATATATTGTATGTGTTTGTTTATTCTAGACCTCATGGCCTGTAGGATGTTCCTGCCCGGAAACACTTGTAATCATATATTGTAGTTAATTAATAGTGTTATATATATATATATTGTATTCTTTATCCTGAATAAAAAGATTATTTAAAAAAAAAAAAGAGAGAGATAATGTATTATTATTAATACATTATTCTGTCTTCTGAAGACTTCAGTGGCTTCAGATACCTTCACTTTTTGCACTTCACTGTGTTGTAGATTTAGTTTTAAATGGAAGAAACTGCCATTTTTTTCCCATCAGTCTATAAACCCATAATGAAAAAGTGGAAACATAGTTTTTAGAAATGTATCAAAAAATCAAAAGTTTAAATCTATCATTTACAAAAAGTATTCCAACCCTTTGCTGTGGCACTCTAAAGTGTGTGGTCAGGTGCTTCCTGTTTGCTTTAATTTTCCATGAGAAAACACACCTGTGTACACAAGTTCCCACTATTCACACTGCACATCAGGACAATGATGAAGTCTTAAGAACTCTATGGACTGGAGATAAAATTATAGTCAAAGATATGGAGGAGGGTATAAAACCATCTAAAGCTCTGAAGGCCACCAGGAGCACAGCGGCCTCAATAACTGTGAAATATAAGAGGTTTCCAACTACCAAGACCTTTCCTAGGTGTCATTGCATTTACCACCCACTTCATGTGTTATGTATTATGTGTTAGACTGGGAGAACTGGTTTTGAAAGACCACAATAGGAACTGTGGGTTCAGGATAATCACCTTTGGGTGTTACCAAATTGTGCAGTGTTTTCATTTTGGCCCAGCTTGACCTTGCCATAAACCCTAATCTTTTACAATTCCACTGGATTTCCAGTAATCCAGTGTAAAAGTGGTTCTACTTACTGGTCCTCTCTCCTCCATCTCTGTTGACCCTCTGGTCCTGTCTGTGTCTGTCAGGAGAAAGAGTAAGCAGGCCCTGAGGGACTACAAGAAGGTCCAGATCCAACTGGAGAACTTGGAGACCAGTGTGAGAGACCGCTGCAAGAAAGAGTTCACAGGTAAGTGAATGGGACAGGAGTAAAGTCACATGACTAAGGAGGAAGGAGACAAACAAGACAGTTTGTTTTAGTTTATGGAAGCCAACAGATCAGATCTGTTTCCGCATTGTCCTTATTAAATGATGCCAATTCATCACACCTCCAGATGAAATGTTCCTCACATCCCACATGTGGATGCAGCAGAGGAATTTAAGTGTTGCCAACTTAGCTCATTGTACATTTAGAGACTTATTTTCAACCAGACTGGGTATAAACCTGGTTCAGGTCTGGACCCTGTATAGATGCAGACCGGGGGCTCAGGGCTACACCTCTTGTTACGGGCAGTCTACTGAGCCGCTCTGGTTTACCAGCTGCTCGAGAACTGCAGGGAAGAGGAGGAGAGCTTCTAATACACTGAGCCTCTCCTCCATTACAGCAAATAAACTACTTTCATTCCATGTATCATTATTACTAAAGGAGGCAGAGGAATAACTAAACATAAGACACACAGAGCAGAGAGAGCAGGAGAGAGGGAGGGAGAGAGAGAGAGAGAGAGGGAGAGTCATCAGTAACGAGGCTTCGCACTAACGACTATGACCAACTCTACATATGAAACAGAGGGAGTTAGACATAAAGACCTGCCTCTAATAAAAGTCTGTTACGTTCTGGAGTTGAAGTAAATAAAGAATAAACTATTGTGGATCCAGATGGAGGCTGTGCTCTGTGTAAATCCAGCTGAAATCACAGCTAAGTCTTTGGCTTTAATTTATGTATTTGGTGATTTTGTCAGAAGACATCGCAGTAATAAAATCAGGATTAGACCATAGGCAGTCCAGACAGGTACTAGGTTTGGACCTAGTCTTGTTAAAAATGATGATGATGTGATTTTTCTTGGTCTTGTACCAAACAAACATGTTCCTTTACGTGTGGAGAATATGATTTGTAGGTCGGGGCGCCTCTGTAGCTCCATAGCTCTTATGCTGCTAACAATGCACAACAATGTTGTGACACATTTTACCTTCATCAAAAACAATTGTAGCTCCTGTGATTTGGATAATGCACTTGGCCATATTGCATATTTGCATATTCATGAATTTCCCCTACGGGATAAATGAAGTATCTGTCTATCTATCTATCTATCTATCTATCTATCTATCTATCTATCTATCTATATCTATCTATCTATATCATAGTTTCAATTATATTTTGATTCACCCTGTCACAGACCTGATGACAGAGATGATGGACATGTCCAGTGACCTTGTGGGCTCAGGTATCCCTTTCCTCGACTACCGGATGTACGCCGAACGCATTTTCTTCCCAGGCCACAGAGAGTCTCCGCTGAGGCGAGACCTGGATGTTCAGGAGTGTCGGCGGCAGACGGTGGAGCAGGGCCTGGTGCAGCTGTCCAACCTACTCAACAGCAAGCTCTTCCTCACCAAGGTATTCAGCATCACCATCAGTGTTGTGGGTAAAATGGAGCTTCGTAGGTACTACCTACATTTTGAGCAGAGAGATAACTGGCCTTGTCTCTGTCTTTCAGTTCATTCACACGCTGGAGAGCCAGCGGACTTTCTCTCCCAGAGACCGAGCCTACGTGGCCTCCCTGTTGACGGTGGCCCTTCATGGCAAACTAGAATATTTCACCGACATCCTCAAAACTCTCCTGAATGACCTGGTGGAGCAGTACGTGGCCAAGAACCCCAAACTGATGCTGCGCCGGTAAGAAGAGGAAGGAGAATAAATATGTCTGTTTAAGATGATTTAAAAATGTTTTGTGGTGGTTCAATTGTCGTGTTTTTTCTCTGTAGAACAGAGACGGTGGTGGAGAAGCTGCTGACCAACTGGATGTCCATCTGCCTCTATGCTTTCCTCAGGGTCAGTCGACGCATGAGACATGATTTTATATTTCAGTTACAACTATAAACTATGATAAAACAATTCAGGCATAAATGTCAGGAGCACCAAAAGCAACACTTTGGTTTTTAGTTTAACGTTTTAAATTATTTGATGTGTGTTTGTGAATAGAAATTTTGCCAGTTTGAGTCCTGGGACATTGTGATAAAATGTGTGTGGGCAAAGTCGACCAGTAAGAGTCTTTAGTTCACAAATGTACAGTTCTGTTAAGATCGCATTGAGAGCCTAGAATCACCTCCTCGCGGTTATTTCCTCCACCAAACAAGCCAAGTTAATCAAATACATAAAACATCAGAAATTTTACTTGTCAATTACTTTTACACAAACAAGAAATCAGTCCATTTTCAGGTATAATTTACACATGGGATTTGACTAAAGGCCTTAATGGCAGCTTTAGTTTAAGGAATGGTTCTAGATTTCAGGAAATGTGCTTATTTTCTTTCTCTCAGATCAATATCACTCTCATATCTGTCTGGTAAATATGAAGGTGGAGTCAGTAGCCAGTTAGCTTTGTGTAGCTTATTTCTTAGCTGGGAGCAGTGACTTCCTGGTTGTACAAGATTCCAGGCAGCCAAGAGATAGTCCGGCACGCAACTCCTGCGTAAAACCACAATCTGTCTTTGCACAGATTAAACAAATAAGATCTATCATGTTAATAAATTAGCTTTATATGTGCTGGGAGGCAGATTTTGTTACATGTTTACCTATTTGCTAAGCTAAGCTAACCAGCTGCTGGCTGGAGCTTTGAGGTACAGATGTGAGAGATGAATCAATGATCTTGACAGTGTTTTCTAAAATGTGACACTGTTCTTTTAACTGCAAGGAACCAGCTGAACTGTTCCATTTACAGATGCAGACAAAATTATTAGAACTGACACTCACCATTAAAATGATACAGTATCGTGTATATAAGGATTTCCATCAGACTGTGCAGTCGGTGACATGTACATGCAGTGTGTGTTAGTTCTGGGAAAGTGGCAGGGTCTCAAGCTTTAGTAATGTTAGTGTCTGTCCAGTGTAACTTTAAGTCTGTGTGTGTGTGTGTGTGTGTGTGTGTGTGTGTGTGTGTGTGTGTGTGTGTGTGTGTGTGTGTGTGTGTGTGTGTGTGTGTGTAGGACTCAGCGGGAGAGTCTCTCTACATGTTGTTCAGGGCCATAAAGCACCAGGTCGATAAAGGACCTGTGGATGCTGTAACTGGCAAAGCCAAGTACACCCTCAATGACAACCGCCTGCTGCGAGAGGACGTGGAATACAAGACTCTGGTGAGGACAACTCCCACTTCCAGACATCCAGCATGATCTTGAGGAAGCTGAATGTTTTTCAGTCCTCCATCTACCTCCTCTCACCTTCTCTTTCGTCTTCCACAGACTGTGAATGTCTTAGTGCAGGGAGGAGGAGTGAATGAGACGCAGCCGCTGCCTTCCAAAGTGCTGGACTGTGACACCATCACGCAAGTGAAAGAGAAGCTGCTGGATCAGGTGTTCAAGGGCACCTCCTTCTCCCACCGGCCCCATGCCGACTCACTGGACCTGGGTGAGAATCCATTCATGCTACATTTACAACTGACAGTCAAAGCAGATTTATTTCTAGATTCACTTTCTTTTATTTTTTACATTTATTGAGCTGTGGCGCCCTCTAGCGCAGGATGAAAATAAATGCAAGGAGAGTTCATAATCTGGTCAGTCTTCCACCAATTGCTCTGGAATACACGGGAAAGCACCTGGAAGTGTACATGCCCTAATTTAATTATAAATATATTATTAAATTGAGCTTGTAACTAATTTTGTTTTGCCATAGCAACAACAAGTATGCACACACTCACACGCACTTACACGCTGCTGACAGTCTGGCTGTTGTGTCTTGCTCAGAGTGGAGGTCTGGTGTTGCCGGACATCTCATCCTGTCAGATGAGGACTTGACGTCTGTGGTTCAGGGCAACTGGAAACGCCTGAACACACTGCAGCACTACAAGGTCAGACATCACACTTCACCAACACGCTGCCTCTCAGAAGAAAATACATGTTTTCCTCACTGAAAGTTAACAAATCTGCATTCTGGCATCTCAAAAACATAGCTAGGGTCAGAGACCTTGTGTCTAACCAAGACTGAGAGAAACTCATTCATGCCTTTATTTCTTCCAGTTTATTATTGCAACGCTCTCCTCACTGGTTTACCAAATAAGACCAATAGACAGCTACAGCTTATTCAGATGCTGCTGCTCAGGTTCTGACTTAAACTTAAGAACAGAGAGCATGTTACTCCAGTTCTCAGGTCTTTGCACTGGCTTCCAGTCAGTTACAGAGTTGACTTCAAAGTTTAACTTATTGTCTGTAAGTCACTAAATGGTCTGGGCCCTGAATATATTTGAGAAATGTTCCATGTATGAGCCCAACAGATCAAATCTGCCCAACCATAACTTAAGCTTTAAAAAGAAGCTAAAAACTGCTCTATTTCCTCTGCCTTTGTTTAATTCTTTAATCTTACACTTTAATGAGATATTATCTATTTTATAATCTGTGTTTTTATACTGTTTTCTTAGTATGCCTTTTACCTCTGTTTTTATGCTTCTTTTATTTCTCTTAAGCACATTGAATGACCTCTGTGTATCATAATGTGCCAACAAATACATTTCCCTAGCCTTGCCTATATATAACTGTGCATCTTCTTGTTGTTCATCAGGTCCCAGACGGTGCAACAGTAGCTCTGGTCCCTCGCCACAACAAACACATTCACCACGACAACCATGACTATGTAGCAGGAGAGAGTGAGTTAACATGAGAACAGCATTATATAATAATTCATCTAGATCAGTTTCTCCTCCTTGTCACCTAAAAATCTTTCCTGCTTCTACTAAACTCTAAATGAAATGAATATCGATGAACCAAATGAACCTTTCCATGTGTGCAGCTATATTCCTGTTCTGTTTTGACAAAATATCCCAGGATTCACAAAGTTGAAGTATTCATGACACTGTTCAGCACAGATTAAAGTCTCGAGTCCCTCAAAGTCATTCAAACAATAAACAAGGAAATTTCTTCATTGATACCAGGTTTAAGTAAAGATTGTGAGGCAGAGCGTTTATGCTAATTGAAGCTTTAAATATATTAACTTGTGCAGAAACACCAATGCTGGAGGATGCAGATGAAGGTGGAGTGCGGCTGTGGCATCTGGTGAAAGCCAGCGAGGAGCCGGAGCTGCCAAAACACCGCAGAGGAAGCCTGAGAGAGAGAGAGAGGGCCAAGGCCATCCCTGAGATCTACCTGACCCGCCTGCTGTCCATGAAGGTACACACACACACACACTGTCAAGATAGTTTTAGATTCATGTTGCAAACAAATCTGTACGCTGGTAAAAAGAGATTCAGTTTCCAATTATAATAATCTTAATTTAGCTGCAAGTGGCAATTAACCAGCTCGTTTAGAAAAGATATATCATAAAATGAAAGATTAAATATAACATTTAAAATGCTGATATGTTTTCTGAGAGTTCCTCACTGGTAAAATTGATCTTAACAACACAGGTTCAAAATTGTGTCATTTCAAAAGAGATTGACATATCCACATTCCTTGAATAACTGCTGAGTTGTGAAATAGCGTGGGATCATGGGAGTTCTTCACCGCCATTGCTGTCAGCTCCTCCCTCTTTGGATCCTTCAGTGTGAGTGGTTCAGGAAGTTTTTACCTGGAAAGGAATTATCCACAGAGGTGTCCTCCTCTCCTAAACAATGCAGTTCAGTCCCAGCAGCTGGGAGCTGAGCTGTCTAACATTTCCTCAGCTTGTTTCTCTGATAACTTCAGATCCAGACGTCCGACGACTAAAATCCTTCATCTGCTTCAAATATAGAGCTGAAAACCGCCAAGGTGGAAAAAGTGTATGTGACCTAAAAGTAGTTAAAAGTCAATGTTGAGCTTCTGTCAGACAAACACACTGACACATGATCATAGAGGATATGATGTCACTGACAGGAGACCAATGAGAATTGATGGAGACATTTGGGAACACAACTCAACAACATATAGAACATACTGTAGGTCTAGTTGTTTTAGACATTTTAATGTGGAAAAACTACAGATTATAATTTTGATGTTCATGTTTGAAAATGGAGCAAAGATGCAGATGAATTGAGAGATTAAAATGGTGAAAGAATTTTAATTCTAGCCTAATGCTTTTTTTTGGTGCCTGGTGGAATTTAGGACCTACCTGCCAATTTTGGTGATTTTTTCTCTTACAGCTTTTGCTGCATGAAGACTTTTAGCACAGAAAAATAATAATAATAAGAGCTAGACCTGCAGGCAGGTATCAATGGGGGTCCAAGCCCCATGAGCCATTTAAACCCAGCTCCCCATCAGGGCGATGCAAGTCGGACAAGAGCAGCACAGATGTTGGAAAACATTCCAGTAAGGGTTGAGGAGGTGTGAGGAGTCAAACTCTGTGTTAAAGTGCCACCTAATGGCACAGAACCTCAGTGGGGCAGAAGAAACTACAGAACCAAGTTTGGTGTTAATAGGAGCAATTGTTGCCAAGACATGTTTTAACAACAACCTATAGGAAGTTCTTCCTTTATAACTATTGCGTTGTTTGGATTATTGAAATTCTTTTAATAACATTTGATAATGAGAGTCCATAGACTTTATGTGCACAGACTCACAGTCCAGGAGGAGTTTGAAAAAGCATGTTTCACATATTTTTTACAATTTTGTGAAGAAAAAAAAATGTTGGAAATGGGCGTGGCCTAAATCACAAGTTTCAGCTAAATTCAAAGAACTTAAGTGCTTCACAGATGACTGATAACATGACAATGAGATACAATAAAATAGATTTAAAAAGCTATAATAACATTAGCAACAAAAAACATAAGAAAGTTAATATAAGAGCAGATAAAATGGACTAAAATACAATTTAGAATATAATTACAATAAAATAAGTGAATAAAATAAAGTGACTAATGACTAAAAAACGTATTTCATAGAAGCCAGGCTGAAGAGGATTGTTTTGAGTTTACATTTGAAAATTTCTTTTGTTTTTTGAAAGTAAGACTCAAAGATTGTATTTATTTTTGTGATATTAACTCAGGGGCCTAGGAAGGCACTGTGCATTGACTGTCTTTTAGATGAAGATCGGATCATATTTTATGAGCGGTCAGTCCACAGGGTGCACTGACTCTTTCCTGTATATACTCAGATAAACATATGCTGCAGGTCCACACAGGCCAACTGTTAAAACACTGACACACTCTTCACTCTCGCTTTATGCTGTAATGTGAAGAGAAAACTCTCCTCTTCCTCAGGGCACATTGCAGAAGTTTGTAGATGACCTGTTCACAGTGATCCTCAGCACCAGCCGGCCCGTCCCGCTGGCCGTCAAATATTTCTTTGACCTGCTGGATGACCAGGCAGGACACCACGGCATCTCCGACCCCGAGACGATTCACATTTGGAAGACCAACAGGTGAAGTACATACAAACACAAACACAGAGCCAGGTGGTCACATGACAAGTCAAGTGGGACAGCTAACAAGATGTACCTTCACTGAACCCTCACTCTCTCTAACAGATATTTTGAGCCCTACAGCACACTTTCCATAAGTCCACGTTTCTGCAGACTTTGCCTGAGGGAATTACCCAAAATGCATAACGTTGTGACATTAAACACGGGGTAACCTTGGTTACTAAGGGTCACCCAGAAGCGTAAAAAAACAGTAAACAACGGCCATAAAACAGAAGAAATAAGAGTTTCCTTTTGTTGTTTACAAACGGGGCAAAAAGAGGGAATAAAAAAATCCAAAACCTACAGTTGTGTGCAGCATGTTTTACATGATAAAAGTTCTTTCTCATTCCTCTTTAGACCATTTTGAGCCCTTGCAGCCTCTCGCACTCAATCACTGACCAGGTGACATCAGTTAAGTATGTGAGGGTTCAGGGCTCAGGCCTCAGAGGGGACACTGGGATTAGACCATAGGGTCTGAGCACAGAACCGTGTGGAAGTCATGGCCAGCTCTCGTGTGCATAGATGAGTCAGTGTTAACACAAACAAACTGGAATCTATCTGATACGTATGACTTAAACCAGCCTGGTGTAATTCCTTTAATGCTAATGACACGTTCTAGTCTCTGAAATAAAACCTTGTGATCAATGGTGTCAAATGAAGCAATGAGATCTAATAGGACACGTATAGAGACGAGTCCTCTGTCTGAGGCCATGAGGAGATGCTTCTGTTCCCAATTGAAACTCCTCAACCAGTCTTACCACATAATCACTTCATTGTATGCAACAGCTTTCTCAAGTTGCTCTTGATGTTGTCGAGGGATATTAATGTCTGTTCTGTCTCTTCAGTCTCCCGCTGCGTTTCTGGATCAACATTGTGAAGAACCCTCAGTTCATATTTGACGTGCAGGCGTCAGATCATGTGGACGCTGTGCTCTCCGTCATCGCCCAGACATTCATGGACTCCTGCACCATCGCCGAACACAAACTGGGACGGGTGAGGATGATTCTGGGGGAGGGAGCGTGAAGAAGCTTCTTAAATAACATTTGTTTCACATGTGTTTTTGTATTTTGAATAGATTTTACTGGTTGGCAGTCTGCTGCTTGTGCTCAGTCACAACTGATAGTTAAAAAAAGTTAGTAAAAATATTTTTAGGTGAATGCAAAGGTAGGACAAAAAGAGGAGGAAATGTTAAGGCTCTAAATTGTGTTTTAGTTGCTGGTGAACATTTGATTTTAAGAATCAGGTGGTACATTTTCTTTATAGGTTAAAAAAGTCTTCCTGCATTGGTTCTCATTCCTTTTGTTTCAATTTCAATAGGACTCTCCCATCAACAAGCTGCTGTATGCCAGAGACATCCCCAGGTACAAGCAGATGGTAGAAAGGTGGGTTCAGGTTTTATTAAACCATTATTTCTTACTGCTCCTTGAACACAGAGAGAATACAGAGCATTCAGAAAGTCTTCAGACCCCTTCAGGTTCTCACATTTTGTTATGGTGCTTATGCTAAAATAAAAAAATCATTTTCCTCTCGTCGATCTACACTCATTACCCCACATGACAAAGTCAAAACAGAATCTTTGCAGATTTATTAAAAAGGAAAACTGAAATATCACATTGACATTAAGTATTCAGGCTCTTACTCAGGACTTAGTTGAAGCAGCTTTGCTAGTGATTACAGCCTCCAGTCGTCTTGTGTATGATGCAACAGGCTGCGCAGACAAAATGTAATTCTATATGACAAGATTTTGCTATTAGATATAGTAACTATTTAAATAAAGTTACTCTTCAAATTATGTTTTAATGTAACGTGCGAGAAACATGATACATCTCCATGTCTCTCTCACTCACTCACTCACTCACTCACTCACTCACTCACTCACTCACTCACTCACTCACTCTACTATACGTCAAAGGAAAAGTTATTTTTATAACAAACAGGTTTTTAAACTGTCGTGTTTGTGATGTTGATGATAATGTTGATGGTTGCAGGTACTACGCTGACATCAGACAGACCATCTCAGCCAGTGACCAGGAGATGAACTCTGCTCTGGCTGAACTGTCCAGGGTGAGGACAGCCACACCTCAGATTCATCACTGTAGACAAACACACACACACACACACACACACACACACAAACACGCACACAGTGTGACAGTGTCCAACCTGAATGCTCTGTGTTTCAGAACTACTCTGGAGAGCTGAACTACCTGGTCGCTCTGCATGAGCTCTACAAGTACATCAACAAATACTACGACCAGGTGTGTCCATCACTCAGTACAGGTGTAACAGAACATCATGTGATCGTGTGCACAGTGGATCACATATAGTCTTTCCAATCATGGCTGGTTAGAGTGAGTGTGAAATAAATCTCACAGCTTCTGTCTGAAAACGTCACGGATACAGATGTGGACAGATGCTGTTGCTCTCTCTCCTTTCATTCACCTGTTTGTCATCCTCTCATCAGATCATCACGGCACTGGAGGAGGACACCACGGCCCAGAAGATGCAGCTCGGCTACAGGCTGCAGCAGATCGCTGCCGCTGTGGAGAATAAAGTCACTGACTTGTGACAGAGGAAACGCCCACCGGTGTTACAGCAGGTAGAGAGAGGTGGGTGTGTGGGAGGCAGGTTAATAAACTTGCAGCCTTCAGGTTGAACTGAACAGCAGGAGAGCGTCGGACAGACAGACTCTTCTTCTCGAGGAGGAGTGGTGGGAGGCGAGGCGAGGCGTTTGTCAGATCAGAAGATTGAAGTTCATATCCCAGCACCTTCTGTCCTTCTGTGGTGTCCGCTAAAGGAAGCTCCCGTGCAGTCCAGACACGGTAGAGACAGGACAGCACATGGACACCAAACAAACCTGGACAAAGAGGAGGGGACATGAAAAGACACCATACAGGCCTGCTGCCATGCTGTTTGTGAAGAACACTGATGGTTTCATCAGTTGCTGGACTCTCAGCTCTTGTGTATAAGAAACCTTGTGGTCCACAGTGAGCTGACCTGATCTGAGGACTCTCAGAAAGTAGGATTTTATCTCTTTATTTTCCCTCTGGAGTCAATTTTATCAAGAGGTACCTCTTATGCCTTGTGTGCTTGTCACTGCTGTATGATAAGAACAGAAGTGTGTGTGTGTGTGTTGTGGTGTGTGTATGTGTGTGTGTGTGTGTGTGTGTGTGTGTGTGTGTGTGTGTGTGTGTGTGTGTGTGTGTGTGTGTGTGTGTGCGTGCGTGTGCGTGTGCGTGTCTGTGCGCGCCACATTGCCCTGGTTAGCCTACATCTTAATATCTGGTTACTAGTACAAAGTATTGAAGTAACTAGTTGTTGTAGTTGCATGTTGCAGGGAGCAGTATTCTGAAAATACGCTGAACTGATCTTCAACAACATCTTCACAACACTGTTTACGTCACTTACAGAGAGTTTTACAAGTCACTGCCTCTCTCTACCTCACTCAGTGTGCCCCCAACAAAAAACACTACTGTCTACCTGTCAGCCAGCACAGCTCAGATCTGCCCTCATACGTATACAGTAACACCTGTTGGAAATCTCATTTGCAGCGGTACACACACATACACACACACACACACACACACAGATATTTCAGACGTGTCTTTCCTTTGTTAAAGGTTGGCGGTCATCACCTGCTTGTCGGGGCATTTTAAGGTACTTATAAAACCAGACTAACTGACACGTTACTCTGTTTTTCTTTCTTGCTTTTCTACTTATTCATGTGGATGTGTAAATAGTGTACAAGTCACTGGAAAGATGTTAGAGGAAAAAACAAATATCCTTCCATAAAGAAACTCATATTAATGAAGTGGAACCTTAGTGTGTGCCGTAGTGTTTTATTGTGTATTTCTATTTTGTACATTTCCTCACATTCCTCTTTGGTTTTGAATGATGTATTAAATCATGGTTCGTGTTGTGCTCCAGAGTATTGAACACAAGGTGGCACTGCTTCACGTGCTGAAGGTCTCTATGGGATTTTGTTATGTATTGATTATATTACTACTGGTTCAGTAGGTGTAGTTGACCTCGTCACTGTTCTGCTTGTCAGTTTGGAGCACAGAGACTTTTCATAAAAAAAGCTAATGTCGGCTGATGTTTTTCTTATTTAAATGACAGAGACGGACACACTGAGGAGTTAGTGGCTGGAAATGGTTTTACATGTGTCAAAGCTGGTCTTGTTTCCCTTTTTAAAAAAGGTGTTTCCTATAGAACTACCCTTTGTAGTTGGGGTTAGGGCTTAATATAGGTCAACTTTTAGGCTGTGGTTAGGCAGCGATTACTGATTGGCTTCAGGTGAATGCGAGAGGAAACCATGTCGACTGGGAAACGAAATTAACATATTTCATTACCTTGCTTTGCAGAGTATATGTACATTTTTCAAAAAAAAAAATTTTTAATTCATAGAGTTTGATGTTGATTTAATACAAACAGCTGCTCAAGTTTTAATTTGCACAATATTTATAAGACTGAGAATCTGACTACAATCGGTGCCAACTTCAATATTCAAGTTCATCAAGTTCCTCTTAATAAGTAATGAGGTTCGATACCCAACCCCAGTCATCAGTTATAGGTCCAGAAACAGCATATCAGAGTGTAGCCCTGATTCATCGCTTCACAACAACACATGGTTTGTCCTGTTTCACACTGTCAGGTCAGGTGGGTGTGAAAGCTCATGATGGTACAGACGAGACACCTGAGGGAAAACTATAACTGTTATCAGGATGTATACATTTTTGCAATACAGAGGAGGCTCTGCAGGGAGCAGTTTTAAGGATGTTTCTTATTTTGTGTGTTAATATCAAACTGATTTCAAATGTAACTAGTGATTTAACATGTTTAATAAGAAAGGGTGCAAATTCTCACTTATGCTGATGTAATAAAGTATTCTTCAAATGATGTGTTCTCTCTTTCTTCATGATGTTCATATGTGAGGGAGTGTATTGGGGAAATGGTGTATGTGGTGTAGTGTTTGTGAGCCTGAGGTTACCATAGAAACCACTGAGATGTAGTCCACTCAGTCAATACCTGGAGCCATATTCACAAAAGATCTTATCTTACCAATAAATGGCACAAAAAGTTCCAAACACTTTCTTCTGAAGAGAGACTCATAGCTGCTCTGCAACTTTTAATAATAATAATAATAACAATAACTTAATTTACACTTTTCACTTTGCAAAACAGAGTTACAAAGTGCTGTACAAACATAAAGACAAAACTAGGAAAAAACAAAAACGTCTCTAGCACCACAACACTTGCTAACAGTGCACAATAATGTGAAACATTTGGCCAAAAAATTGCAGCTCCTGTGATCTGGATATTGCACTTGGTCATATTGTAATTTTGATTATATTTCGATTAATTGTGCAGCCCTAGTTAAAACAATGAAATCAATAAAGCAGACAAAAGAAAATAAAAACAAAAGTAGAAACCAAAGATAAAAGCATTGAAATCGAGAATTAAAGCTGCTTTATACAAGTATGTTTTGAGTAGTGTTGATCTCTTCGGGCAAGGCTCCAGAGTCTGAGGGCTCTAACAGCAAATATGGTGTATTATATACCAGAGGAGAGGAGAGCAGGTCTGAGATATAAGAAGGTACCAAACCAAACAGGGCTGTAGAAGTATTTTAAAAGACAGGTAGCCAATGTGAGGAGGCTAAAATGGGTGTAATGTGATCACATATTTTGGAAGCAATGAGGAGTCTAGCTGCATCATTTTGTATGAGTTGCAGGGAGCAGAGAGATTTCTGGGAGAGATGTAAACAGCGAGTTGCAGTAATCAAGATGTGATGAGATGAACGCATGAATAACCTTCAGATCAGTGAGTGACACACATGATTTAATTTTGGCAAATATTCAGCAATAAAAACTCCTCAGCTGAGAGAAGGGGTGTGTGTGGTTGACCCACATTGCTATGGACGACATAATGCTTCATTAAATAATAAATTAAATGTAGATCAATAGATTTCATTATTAAAAAAAATACATTTTATAAACTCAGAGATTTCATATATGAAAAGTAAAATATTGACTCGTCAGCTGTGTCAAAATAAATCAGACTGGTGTGATCATTTTTGGGTAAACCAGCGATAGTCGTGACATCGCCTTTATTATTCAATTGATGGCAGATGAAGATTATTTGATATGCACTTTTTTAATGAATAATTCTGGAGCTGAACATCATGGTGATGAACCATGTCTGCCACAGCCCCATAATGAGCAGGCGTCCCATTACAGAGACCCAAACCCTTTTTCCCCTCCCTACTTCGTTACATGGATTTTTTGTGAGCTCGTGAGAATCATACATATGATGGTACGTCATAAAATGTAAGGAAACGCCAGGAACACACTGCGTCGCTGGCAGTGTGTTTAAATGTCAGTCATGGTCTGAAGGAGTTACATTTTGATGCCAGTATCTTTCAGTCATGGACTCACCTGTTATGCCTCCATGTGGCAGCTCATTGACACTGGGAGACTAAAAACCAGGCCACATCAGCAGGGGCACATCAGCAGGGGCACAGTTACACGTTTTCGGAATTCTTTATTGAACACTTTTTTCAAGCACTTCTATTATTTGAGGAAAGACAAAAAGCCTGATTTAAACCCATAACACATGACAGGCTTCCGCTGTCCCTTTGCTGCAATTTCTGTAGTAAATCTTTTAAAACTGAGTAAAATGACGGTATCTAAGTGTCAGCCATGATAGGAACTGGTCCAGTTCTCCAAATGATAAGGAAAGGAGGTTGAGTGCTTCCTATCTTATCTCCTTTAGCATAGGAAACACTGGACACAAAACACAATTCCTTGCTGCTACATTTAAAGTGGAGCAACGTTGTAGTTTCACCACAGCAGGCCCACATAAATGTAGAAACAACAGAGAAACTGTTTATGTTTGTCACTCAATCCAGAACTGATGGAAATCCTAGTCTGATTGACTGAAACCCAAATCCATAAATATAGATTTATTCTCTTTAAATCAGTTAGGAGTCATCGTGAAGAACAAGCAGACTGAATTTATAGTTAACAATATCATCATCATAACAAAATACTATCGCCTATACATAAATGTTTCACTAAATCCTCTCCAGTGTAAAACACTAAAAATGAATTTTCTCGACTTTACAAATGTATAAAAATGTCAAAAGCGCCTGTCAGGAAACTCTATATACACTATGAATATAATTTATTCGGATCTCTTGCCCAGTTCCTTATTTCTATTTAATAATTTTATGGCTCAAATTTTTCTACTTGTGTATTCCTGCCATGTTATCTTTTTTCAACATTTCAGTCCTGTTTGCTTTGTTTTTGTGGTTATGAATGGAGGATTTATCCTCCAAGTGTAATAAATAAAGTTAGTTAAAAAAAAAAAAGCTTAGTATAAGTGCAATCAGATTTTTTTTTTTAATTTATTTCATTTTATTTATTTTACTATTTTATAATTTGTATAATTAATTTGAAAATGTTACTATATGTGTTGTAACTGTTTTCGAACGCAGTCTCATTTTTTGAGCTGCACTTTCTAGTACTTGTAGTGCATTGTTTGTTGCTATATTTGTCAATGTAAACACTCAAATTAATAAGTGTAAGTATGGAAGTACGTGGTTTGAGACAGCACCACATTTACGAGTGACACGCCCTTTAATTTCGAGTTTCAAATTAGCTTTAAAAGTTGCACCTAACGTCAATGTTTTGTGACTACATACCTATTTAACAAATATTTTGACTACATCTTACTAATTAACTCCTTATTATTCAAATACATCGCGATAAAAGGAGATACATTTTCGCCTGTTAATGGCTCTGTTTTCAGTGGCTGCCGTTCACCCTCACGTTTATGACTGAGTTAAGTAGGCACTCTGTGGACGCGCATATCATCACCACGTAATTAATATCACCAGAAAATCTGTGACACAGCATCCTGCCAACAAACAACAGGGTCCAAATGGCTAAACGCTGATGACAGTGTAAAACGGGAATCCAACTGAATCTCCGTCACAGGTGAAAAATAAGATTTACAGACACCGGGAGTGACCGTCGTTGTTCATTCTGCCGAGCTAGCTGCCCAGAACAGGTAAACTATCTACACGCAACTCGCTGCACTGTAGCTAGTCCAGTTAGCGGTAGCGGCTAATGCTAACGTTACCTAGTTTTGTAACAGCTATTGAGCAATAAATGTTTCCTTAATTAACTCTCATGTAAGCATTAATGCAAAACGTCTTAATGCAATTAATTCGTATTCTTACGGGGAAAGCCGAGCAGTCTAAACCAAAGCTAACTTTGCTAGCGTTAGCTGCATTCTTTTCTATGGTTATTCAAATGGTGTGTAACGTATTAGATGAGCTAACGACTGTCGCCTGCGCAGAACTAGCTTATCTTAACGATTTCTTTAGACAGCCAACGTTAACTTGTGACTTTGTGGCCGTCCGTAGGGTATTGTTGTTTTTATCTATCAAATTCCCTTCGCACACGAAGGTAACATTAATTCATACTTGATTCAATTTTAATACGGCCTTGCTGGGAAAAGTACGTGAACGGTCGACGGTTTCCAAAATAATATTTGGTTATATATAACACTGCGACCGTTTACCAGTATAGATATTTTCAGGCGTTTCTCAGTTTATTCTATTAACTTGTAATACTTGTTTTAATAAGCCATCCATCCATGCAAATAATAATGAATTGGAAGGCATGCTGGGAAATGTGATCTGCTTTACAGGAGCCTGGTGAAATTATATGAATAACATTAACAAAGCTCTAATGTTGTAGATTTTGTTATCAATTGTATTCTATTTCATGTGGGTTAGTGCTGCTGCAGGGTGTTCATTGTTACTTCCTTTTTGCAGTCAAGAATGGAGCCATCAGAGCAGTCAGGCCCACAGTCAGACTCTCAGGATGTCAATCCTGTGTTTCTGCAGCAGCTCAGAGAACTGGACATCCCAGAGGAGGCAGCCAAACAGGTGGGACAGTAGACTCCGGGTATTTAGGCCACATTTACACCAACTTCCAATAATAATTATGACTGGGAATGCTGTGTTTTTCTGAAAGCTGTGGTATATGTGACAGTAAATAATACTGGAATGTCTGAAATGAAATTGATGATGTATTTTTTATCATGCACATTATTATGTGTCACCAACCTGCCATCTAGCCGATTCTGCAAGATCACCCGTTATATGGCCCTGGGGCCTTTGGGATTTGGACTGTTTAGCATTTGGATATATTTGTGACAGGGGTCCAAGTGCTTTGATTTTGATACCGCTGCAGAATCGAATCAGGTGGTAGCCAGGCTATAGCTTTATTGCAGTCACATCCAACTGCTCAGAACCACCAATTATTGAATATCCCAAATAAGAATTTCATATTATTTGAGCAATGTGAGTAAACCAGCTATAAAGATGAGCATTTAATTGAATAAATGTATTGCTTAGTTTAACTTTTGCCTGTCAAAATGATGGCAGGTATGACCATGTAATAATTCACTGCTTTATTCTCTGACTTTTTTGTTGTTTCTCATGACCTCAGGCACTTCTGCACACTCGGAATGTGTCTGCCGAGGAGGCGGCAATGTACTACTTCAACAAGCTGGAGAATGAGGTGCCCATAAGCTAGCCTTAGTCCCCACAGGTACACCTTGGTACATTAGACCTTGTGGAGTTCGTCCAAAACCATATCTCAGTGTCTCTTTTTGTCCTCTCTGACTCGCAGGAGGAGGGAGATGATGACCTAATGTTCAAGATGGTGTTTGTGGTGAACATGGATCTTGCCATGGGTGTTGGCAAGGTAAGTCTAGTGGTGTGGATGTGTTCTGTGTTCAAGTACATGATCCATCTTGAGGAAAGTGTTTTTAACAATAGCTCAAATTGTGGAAGAACTTTTTATCCCTTCCTCTTTTTTTTTTTTTTTTTTTTTTTTTTTTTTTAGCTCTTAAGGTCTTGCATTCAGTCACCCCTATCTCTGGTTTTACATTGAGGTAAAGCTGCAATGTGCTCTGTTATTTCACAAAATCTGTCTTTAATTTGCATTATCAGGTCAACTTCTTTCAATAATGAACACCTACCAGGTTCTGTGGCCTTTTGTGGGCTATGCTCATATCGTAAGCACTGAAACATTTCATGCAAATTCTATTTTTAAGAAGAATTTCCAAATCAGTTGTTTTTAGTGCAGTTATTTTTTCCAAGTTCAGGGTGTAACTTTATTTGAACTTGGTCAGAAACAGCACATAGAGGCCATTTTCAGTACGGCTGAAAACTTTCACAGATTGCTGTTTATGTGCAATCCCTGCTGTGTGTTTGTGCAGGTGGCAGCCCAGGTTGGCCATGCTGCTGTAGGTTTGTACCAGGCTCTACAGGAGAAGAACAGCTGGAGGGAGATGGCCTGGAAGTGGGACCACAGTGGGTAAGTTAGTAGGTGATGTGCAGAAAGGTCATGCATTTGTTATATATCTTGTATGAAAACCTCTACTTACATTTTGAATCACATAACTTTCAGGTTATGTAAATCTTTATTTTTTCAATATTACTAACTACACATTTAACAACAAGTAACTCAAGGAAAGCACAAGTTAGCTATTTGAAAATGATTAACAGTAATAATCTTTAACTTTCTATGCCATGTTAAAGCTTTTTAGGTGCCCATATCTAAAGCCCTGCCAACTTCAGCATCGCAGTTTTTGTTTTAGGAAGAGCAAGCTTGTTCTACTGCTGCTATCTGTAGAAATCCAAGGTGGTAATCCAGTAGTGTTTCATTTTGTGAAGCATTCAAACGCTGTACTTTCAGTTTAATTACAGTACAGTTTAATTTAAGAGGGTCGTTTGAGTCTGTTGATTTTTTTTTTTGAAGAAGGTAAACCTTCAACTGTGTCAGGATAGCTGTACTGCCTTTGCCTTTTCCTTCTCCAGTCTTTGCTCTAACATGTGCGTCTTTTCCCTGCCACCTTTCTGGGCTCTTTATACCCGTTTCTCAGTTTGGTTTGTAAAATTGCTCAATGTATAGTGTTTCGTTGCTGACATTGTTGACTACAGAAATGTTTTTTATATAAACTCACAAAGCACTTTATTAGAAACACCATACAAATACTGGGTAGTGCCTCCTTTGCCCCCAAATCTTCCTCAGTTTTTTGTGGCATGGATTCTACAATATTCCTTTAAGATTCTGCTCCATCTTGGTCATAATTTCTGTAGATTTTTCATCTGCACATTCATGCTACGAATCTCTCATTTTACCACATCCCAAAGGTGTTCTATTGGATTGAGATCTGGGGACAGCAGAGGACATTGAAGTTCACTGAACTCATCGACAATTTTTGCTTTGAGACATGTACTATCATGCTGGAGGTAGCCATTCAAAAATGGGTAAATTGTGGCCACAATGGGATGCACACGGTCCTTAAAAGGATGATTGATTGGTATCAAGGGGCCCAGAATGTGCCAAGAAAATATTCCTCACACCATTACACCACCAGCAGCCTGGACTGTTGACACAAGGCAGGTTGGGTCCATGGATTCATGCTGCTGATGCCAAATTCTACTACTCGCTGGATGCTGGATGTTTTTTGTTTTTCAGCCATTCTGAGTAAAAACTCTAGAGACCCGCCTGGCACCAACAATCACGTTGTGGTCACTGAGATAATTTTTCCGCATTCTGATGTTTGATGTGAACATGAACTGAAGCTCTCGACCTGTACTTGAAGGAATTTATGCATTGCACTGCTGCCACATGTTTGGCTGATTGGATGATTACATGAATAAGTAGGTGTACAGGTGACGCTAATAAAGTGCTTGGTGTGTGTATATATTTTTTGCCATCATTTATAATACTGTTGAATAATTAATTCAGTCTTGGTGTTGACAGAGCCAAGAAGGTTGTCGTCCAGGGTACCAATGTGGCTCATCTACTGGAGCTGCAGGCCCTGGCCATGAGCCTCAGCCTGCCCACTTACCTGGTCCAAGATGCTGGGCTTACCCAGGTAAGGGACACATGCCATTTTCAAAGTTGTCTTGTGAATAAATGTCTTTTTGAGGCACCAGTAATCATTTTCAAAATAGTTGCATTGTTAGTATCAATATATTTGGTAAAAAAAAAATTGTAATTGATTTTGTCAGTATTGCCCAATGCTGTGGTGTGAACACATTTGAGAATTTCATCACTAAACCAACCCCTGTTGTTTTTGGCAGGTGGAGGCTGGGTCCCGCACTGTCCTGGCCATCATGGGCGAGGAGGAGATTGTGAACAATGTCACTGGGAGTCTGAAGTTACTGTAAGGGGCTCAAACCCACAGTGGGGAGGCATGGCTCTGCAGTGCCACAAAGCAACCAGCAGAGGGCAGAAATATCCCAGCCACAGGGAGAGTCTTGGCATGCAAGAGTGTAACAACCTTTAAAAAAGACCTGAAGAACAAGGGGAAACAAGACATGTCCCAGCACCAGAAAAAAAACACTCTCAGCCATTTGTTTCCCTTTCATTCTTTTTATGAGCTGCTTTGTCAGCCATTGGGAGCAGGAGGGAAGAGAGACCGGTTCTTCACAAGGCATCAAGATGAAGGCAGTTGAAATTTCTTGTTCTGGTGACCTTTCTCTTTTCTAAACAGGCCACCTACTTAAGAGTCTTATTAGAAACATAATTGTTTTTCAAAATTGTCTCAAAATTGTTTCAAAAACTCTAATTGTCCAGTTTCAGATATGGCAAAGTCAAATCAAGTAGTTTTGGTGGTAGACCAATATTATAGTTGTGCTTATACAAGGGGCCATGTACTGTAGACTGAAACATAATGGAATTAGAATTATACCCATAGCAGATGTAGTATTTGCCTGTTGTATTCACTACTCCTGAGTGAAGGGTAACTTATTAAATGATAACATGTGAACACTCATTTTTGACATTTAAATAATTTTGTGTCTGTAAGCAACTATTCTCCGAAAGATCCCTATCCTATAGACTCAGTAACATTACTTATTATTGATAAATGGCTGTATTTTATATACATACGCCTGTTTGAGCCATAAACCGTATAATCTGTGGTGTGCTATCCTAAGCAGTATGCACAATTACTGGACTTTGTTGTATTGTTTCTTTTTTTTCTTTATGCAAAAGAAAAGATCCTAAATTATAATTTTTGGATTTATCTTTCTAACTTTATGCACTCTGACTGCTTGTGGTGGATAAGTTACAATAATGAATCGACTTACAGCTTGAAAGAATGCAAATGATTGTGTGTATGAGTATTGTTGTGGACGTGAACAGTCTTGCACACTAATAATCTTAATACACAAAGAATGTTATGTGTCTTTTGTTCGTAGTAACAAATATTTGTGGGCATGAGCTGCCACTCGCAGAATTCTTTATCTTACTGTCAAAGATTTTATTTGTAACAGAAGTTGTGGCAGTGTCATGCATGCAATATAAAATGTGTATTTGAACAGACCATTGAAATCCCAAAGTTATGTCAATTGTGTCCACACTTTGATACCTCTTGTGTCATACAGTCATTTGTGAGTGCTTCAGACTATGGAGACAATTAAAACGCCTCCAGATTAAGAACAAGCAGTTTGAGTCGTGTTTTCACCTGACTATGCTCGAGCTCTGGCAGTGAAAGCAGTGTGGGGGAGGGTCAGACACTGCCATGTTGCAGAGCTTGGTTTGGGCTGGCCATATGACACTGCTGTTTCACTTCAGTAACAAAGGCAGCATTGTGAAACATGGCTACTCCCAGTCCCTACCATAGCAGTCCGGCTGGGAAACATGTAACTTGTCCTTCAGTTATTAACCTCATTAGGTTTTTGTGTTTAGGGCAAAAACCAGAGAAGATACCAGGGACGGGAAAGAGGATACGTAACGTTATTTTAAGAAAAAAATAAAATAAAGTATATTTATACACTGACCAGTGAGGTTATAACTAATGTCAAGCACAAAGATATGTCGAGTCACTTATGTGCTGTTATCGGTTGCTGTGGGGCCAGATGTTGATAACACTTGATAATACACATTTATGTTCAGGATTAGTTAACTGTGTTTACACCTTTCCCTATTTTGAATTAATTCAAATTCAAAATTCAACGTTTGTAATAACGGCTACAACACAAATTCCATAACCGTTGTGATAGTCTGTGAGCACGCAAAGTGTTTACCCTACTAGTCGTAAAAAAGTGACAGTAGGTAGCCTAGCGTTATACTACAAGTTATACTATATGTTACAGTCTCAGTCTTAATATGTAGGCCCCGCGACCGCAATGTAGTTTTTTAAAATTCTTGTGTCTATCTCATCGCTCGTCAGACCTCTGCAACAAATGACGTTGGCATTTATCACCACAGCCAATCCAAGGTCTCCCCCCAAGTCTCATGACATGACAAGAAACCAATCGCGTCATTGTGACATTTGTTTATAAATATCGCAGTCCACATGTCAAAATTATTCTTTACCTGTATCTGTTGAAAATAACGTCTCCGTTTGTAAACTTAGTGTGTGTGGGGGGGTTGGGCTGTAAGCAATAATCTTTTCAACAAGAAGCAAAGGCTAAATGCTAACATCACAGCAAGGTTAACCTCATTATTTCGTCAGCTCCTTTACTGCAGCTCCCAGATTTTTTTATTTTACTGAACCGCTGCTGATAATGATATTTTCGTTGTGTCTGTCACTATTTCTGTATGAGGAAGTGTGGGAAGAGACTGATTTAGGCAGCGGGAACAGAAGTAGGAGGGACCAGTAATATGTAGATGCAATCCAGGAGCCCTGGTCAATTTCCCTGTCCAACCCTTACCAGATGCTACCAGAGCGACACCTCATACTCCATTAATCTGACATACCGGTAGGTGGGGCTGACCCAGCGGGCTAACCCTGCCTCTGGTGTCCCTGGAACTGGGCCCCAGAGACCCCTTGTAGCTAACGCTTCCTACTATGTATTGGTATCAAAGCTCCTTCCACAGTAGATAGATGAATGTAACCCTCAAATAAAAAAACAATAATTCCACTAACGAATTAAAATTAATTCCATGGCATTTGAATTTAATATCGAGCATTTCCCGAAACTTTAAAGGTAAAGATCCTCTGTTGGGTGTCAAATTAAGTCCCGAATCCAGCCATTCTCTATAGCTCGCCTTCTTGTATGCCATCAGTATACGCACATCATAATGGAACTGAATTTTCACACCCCTCCTCAAAGTAGTGACTGGCCCGCGTTACGTAGTTGACGCAAAAAGAAATAATCGATGCTGTAATTCACCAATGACTTACATGTATAGCTCTTGTATAACAAGACTGACACATTGTTGTCAAATCATCGGCGAGAGGCGGGATTTCACAGCAAGGGCCGCCCAAGGAGAGAGCCCCTGCTCGGTCGCCAGGGAAACCCCGTGGCGTGGTTGTGTGTCAGTTTCACTGGAACCCGCGATGCCGGTGAGGAGGGGGATGGGCGCCTCTGCGAATGTAAGGACCCAAGACAGAATCAGAGCCCTGTATGACATAGAGCAGCATATACCCCATTATAAATAGCGACTGTAAATATACAATACACAAAAATAAATGGATTTATCCACCGGGGATCTATAATAGCCACTCAATGGATGCACTGCACCTTAACAGGACAGGGAATTTAACTTTCCGCCTATGCGTTGGAGACACATAAAGAAGTTTGTTTCCTACCCCTGGAGAGGGAGCTACTTTTAAGGGCAAAGGATACAGGAGACTCCGAGGCCGAGGTACAGGCCTACTGGTCTGGTTGGATTTGATGTTGGGATACTCTAATGACTTCCTACTGTACATGAATTTGCCTCGTTTGTACAAGTTCGGAATGCCTCTTTAGGTGAGTACCTTAAATCTTTGATAATTATTTATGTTACCCTCGATAATTTGAGAGGGTAATATAAATTACAGAGACTAACTAACCGTGTTTTCAGTGAGCCAAACATAGCTATGATGCTAACCAACTTAGCTAGCTAACTACTTAGCGTCCACATAAGTTTATTAGAACAAGTTGGTTGCCCCACAATCTTTCCACTTTCAAGTGGCTTGCTTGGCTGGCTAAAAGGTCCTCATGTTGATGGTCTGCCTTGCAGGGTTGCTCTTGGCTGTGTCTGGACTGATCTTCCATGGTTTTTGGTCGTCTCCTCGTGTTGTTTTCGATAGCGAGCTTGTTGGGAATCCACCACATTACTAGCTTTATAACAGCCAACATTATAACATTACTTTAAGCAACAATGTCCCCGAAGCTGTTGACGCCATTCTTCCAAGTTTTCAGGGGCTTTGAGTCGTATAACGTTTCATCGTTTAGTGGTATCTTCAGTTTTTTTTTTTTCAGTTTTCGTACCAGGAATAAACCAGTCACACTTGGCTATCGTTATCACGTTACATTATTAATTAGAGGAACTATGTTTTGCCCCAAGCCAACTAAGCTACAAATGGGTGTCGTTTTGAAGCATTAATAAATAAATCTTGGTTTGTTGAGCAAGTTTGATAACGTGTTTCTGTAGAGGCTTAACATACCTTAACATGGCATAGCCAAAACAAAATCAGCAGCACGTTATAAGAACTTTATCCGTCTATGTTGCATTGTTATTATTAGGTTACATTTGAAAGTTTAACAGACCTGGAACCCATCTATTGGGCTCGGAAGTTTAAGATCAGACCGCGTTGGGTAATGTCTAAACTTGTTTTGTTTGAACCAGAAACAAATTGTTGCATTGCGCTTTTACCAGTAGTATTTTAAATGTTGCTTTGGGTCCGCGAAACTGTCAAATGTATGGAAGTTATTCAAGGCATAATGTGGAATTAGATCATTATTGGCGACTCATGTTAGCTAAGCAACCAGCTGCTGTGTTGGTTAACGTTAGCAGGCAAGCCATAGGCAACAAATGCTAAAGTAGCTATTTAGCTAACTTTTTGGATGTTTTCCAGATGATTTTGTCCTTATTTGGAACCAGTATTTTACAGAATACAAATTGTGTATACACATGAAAACTTATTTGCAAACCGTTGCTATTTTACAGTGGATTTCTGGACAAATACTTAAAAAAAAAAAAGAAAATAGGGTGTCTGCACCATGGTTAGCTACATCACGTTAAAGCATTCGTCTTTGGCAACAACCCTAACTTCGCTCAATCGTGTGAATCAAGCCCGGTTGTGTTTTCTCTATTTGTGCTCGTTCTTATTTTCTGCTTGAGGGGTCCAACAATCAGAAAACCAGATCTGCTGGTTAGTGACTTGCTGTTCTTCACCTCCCCCACCTACCAACCCCCAGCCTCGGTGGCGGTTAAGAGATATGGGTGGTATTTTGAAGGGGAGCTCTTGTTTCCTTTTTTAGCCTCCATTTTTTATTTCAACGTGTGAGCAAGGGCGAGAAGCATTGTTGATCCGGAATGTAGTAATCACAAGTCCCGTAGGTAGAGTTAAAGACGCCGTAGCTGTTATATTTTAAAACACCATTGCGTTGTTTGATAATTCATATCTTTTCTTGATTATGAGAGAATTCTACCATTTCACCTACACACGTTGGTTTCAGGGATCAAAATCTGCTCTCAAGATTAAGCTATGACTTGTCATTTTCTTAGTATGGTTGATCATAATGTTGAGGCAAAATTAAACACATGAGAACTCTCGAGTTTGCGATAACCACCGCTGATAGTGATACTAGCAAAGGGTCGAGTGGTTAAATAGCGCCTCATCATCTTGTGATATGTTTTTGTGAGGTTTTAAATGTATTTGGACCTCCCGTTTTCCGAGCACAATGGCTGCCCTAACTGTCCCTGGAGTAGCTGTGATCAACTCAGCTGCACCACGAAGACTGGAGCGGCGGAAGGCCGGAGCAGTGGGCACAGCAGCTCAGAGAGAGGAGCTGTTATTTTGTCTATCCGACGTGTTTAGGTCACTTAATGTGGCACGAGTTACGTGACTATCTCCCTGCAGTTGTATTTATGTCAGACTTGTTGTAAATTCAACTGGTCATACTCACAAGCCATATTTTTCTTTCTACTCAGTCAAAATCTTCTATTGAAATCGAATGCTTCAATATAAGCGGAGAACTAAATCTGGTGTCAGGTCGAATCCTTATTAGCCATACTGTTGTTTGGTTTCTCACTAAAAATATTGTGCTTGCTAATCAAGTGTATTCCAAACAAGCTTGTTTAGAAATCCACTTGCTTAATCAGTTTGAGTTTGGAAAATGTATGTGCCGCTTCAAGTAAGAGTGTGTTTTTTTTTTCTGAGCAGTAGTCGACCTTGCTTTAAGAGTACAAAGATTACAGGTGTTCGGCCAGTGCCAAGAATTCGGATTGATCTTGAAGCCTGTTGGAAGCCAGATTGCAATGTGCTGAGCCTTGTTTTCACTGGTTGTGACTGACATTCTCTGAATATGTTTCACATCTTTTAATAGACTGTGTGGGCTGCCGCTTGCAAACTTGGCCACTCAGAACCATTGGAAACATGAGCCCCTCCAGTACTCCCCTTGACCTGACCCTTCTTGTTGTCTTGAACAAACACTGTGATCTCTAACAGAGAAAAATACTTGTATGCAGCTAAGTAAGAAATGCAAGGAGTATTTGG